CTAAATTTAATAAGGATAAAATTAATACTAGTTGCATGAGAAAGTGTTTGGTGCGACGGTAAACAATTTTAAAGCGTGAAATTTCACGGATTTCCTTTTGTTTTACTTTTTTGTCACTGTTCAGAAAATCTTTCAGTAAATTATCATTTATTATTTGTATTTTATGGATATCAAATCTTTACAAAAGATTGTGAAGTCTTTGCCTCAAACTTATTTTGTCTAATCCCTTTATCTTTACAGCCTGAGGATGTAAACCTTTGAAAACTAAGATTGTTTAATAACTGAATTCATATTTAAAAAATATAAGATCTACGACTTTGGGTCGCAATAGAAAATCAGAGTTTGTGGAAAAGACTCAATTCCTTTTGTGAGAAATTACTGATTGAAGGGAGAGGTCTTCTATTTAAAAAGCAATTTAAAGCGTTGTTTAAAAATGAACGTTCTAACATATTGGTTTATTTCCTGCAGTAGTTCTCATCTATATACATGTTTACAAAAAGTATAAGAGAGTTTAAACGGTAAAATTAAAACTCAACGCTTTAGGACACTTGAAAGTCGACCAGGTCTTGAAAATTAATGCCACATTTCAGAGGAGTCTAGATATTTGTTCCTTCTTGAATTTAAGTAAAAGTTGGGCGAATACCGACAATTTGTCTATTGTATTCTAATGTTACTCTATTCTTCTGTTCTTAAACTACTTAAAACTTTCAAATTAGAAAACTATTTCTTATCAAAGGTTGTAGAAGTGAACACACATTTTACAGAGTTCCTCCTCACACCAAACAACAGTTAAGGTGCTGGGTTACCAGTCTGACCTTGCGCGTAGATTTATTATAATTTTATTACATAAAAGAAGGTAGTTTCGTAGGAATGAAACTAACCCCCCCCCCAAAAAAAAAAAAAAACAGAATTTATTTTAAAAACCAGGATTAGCGTTGTTTTTTCCAAAGCTGTACATTTTTGTTGCAAAGTTGATGTTTTAGACAGAACCATATTAGAAGTAGTTAATAAAATGCTAAAATATTTTTTGACCCATAGAATATTTATAAAATGCAATATGCAGAATTTAAAGGGACTTAAGACATCATTAAAATTGACCCTCAATTTATGTAGACTTGACAGAGATGCAAGTTTGATTCACGATGGTAGCACTATACCTTTAATACCTTTGTTTGAGTAAAAATTAGAAGTTATTTCTGTTTATCATATATTAAAGGGCACTGTTGTGAATCGGAGATTGGCATCTTTAAATGGATTGAATTTATGCTTACAGTCCCTTTAAATACAGCCTTCGCATTTATATAATATATAATGCACTGCAGTGTGTTTATATTTAAACTATTTTTATAATTATTAAGAAAATGAGAGCTAGGGGAATATAAAGATGGATTAATGAGGGGGGGAGGATCTAGAAAATGTAATCAAGAAGTAATTTTATAAAATATGTTCAAGCTTCTTTTTCTATTTTGTATCAATATTGTACATTTTATTAAATATTATTTAGGTTTAATTATCAATATTGTACATTTTATTAAATATTATTTAGGTTTAATATCAATATTGTACATTTTATTAAATATTATTTAGGTTTAATTATCAATATTTTAAGGCCTATCAAATCAATATTGCATGCAGGGCTCAAAAAAGTCTAATAAAGCTGGTGACTTTAAAGTTGATCCGGTCTTAACAATTTATGCAAATATTCACAACAGTCTGTCTGGGGACTGTAAAATATTATAGATTTATAATATTTGAAAAGATTTTTTCACGTTCAGCTAGGCGAATATTAACTCCGAAAATTGAGAATTCGAGAGAAAATGGTGAATTTCTCTTAACAAATATTGTACATAATATTACTGTTATGATTATGCAAAATACAAAATGTTGATAAACTATTTTTTATACAAATAAAAATGTCTAAATCTCAAAAAATATTAAAAATATTTTGAAACATATAATATATTTATATAAAAAAAATAAAGAAAGATTTGATGAATGAACTTTCAGAAAACACAAATAATTAGAAAAATCTAAAAACTTTCTAACAATTTTTAAGTCATGACAATTCGGAAATTTGTATGATTTTATTATCTTTTCAATGCTCAATTAAACACAAAGCTTTAAATTAAAGTTTAGCCCAAAAAGGATTCAGTTTAAGGGATCATGAAAGGCTTACAACAATGAAAATACCAGATTTCAATAATAAGTTCTAGCTTTGTTTTTTTGTTGATATTTACAAGCCTTTATTTTCTTTACTCACGCACCTCTGACCCTTCAGTAAAAGTGAACTCAACCTAAAGTCTGACCTCGTCAACCTTGTTGCACCGGCTAGTCCTATTGAGTGTCTGCTTTATTTGCCCAATGTCCGGGCGATACAGGACAAACTGGGACTGGAAAGGTTGACCCGGCTCGGAAATTCAAATGACTACGGCTTCCCGTGTACTATTGAACAAAAACAATAAAGAATTTTGCAGATTTTTCTGTTTTCAAAGATATATTAGAAAAATTAGAAAATATAATATTTCAAGGAACTAGGCTTTCAGGGCGCTTCGAGCCCATCTTTTATTTCAATTTTAATTATGGCTCTGTTAACATTTTTTCCCCATACAATATAAAGCAATAACAAAACAAAAATTCGTGGATACTGTAACATTTTGGGTGGATTTTCAAAATTTTCGGGAGGCAAATAAACTTTAATAAATCTTGCCGCTTGGGTCTTGTGAGGTCCTACAAAAAAAGTACACAATATAGGTGACGTTACCATGACGTTTAAATGAGATCAAAATGATTTTTTTGCTCCCCAAATATTATTTATATCTTCTACTGCCTCGAAGTAAAGAAGGAAAAGATTGAGAAGTTAAAAATTCATGTCATGTCCCTCGGTCAGAGGGTTATCTCTGCCAGCCTTTGATTATAAGACCTCTAACACTGTCAATATTTCTCTTCCCTTCTTTCAGTTTGATCAAATCAAATCATTGACAGGATTGTCCTCTCTCTCTCCTCCCCCCCCCCCTTTCTCCTCCCTCCTACAGAATACAACATTATCGTTAACCAAGGATCAAAAATATCACAAAAGACAATACCCAGTGTAAAAAATATTCGTTTTGCCAACTGAATCATTGATTCAAAGTTTCAAGTTAAAGTTACGTGGTTGAACCGGCTCTGTGTAGTTCAACAACTTCAGGCAGCTCTGACACTGAACCTTTAGTAAAAGTAAATTCAACCTAAAGTCTTACCGCGCCAATCTTGTGGCACCGGCTAGTCCTAATGAGTGTCTGCTTTATTTACCCAATGTCTGGGCGATACAGTACAAACTGTGACCGGAAAGGTTGACCCGGCTCGGAAATTCAAATGTACTATGGCTGCCCGTGACTTGTTGCAATATATTAAAGGTCCCGGAGAGAGATCGAATTCTTTACTAAAAATTATATAACTTTGCCAAATCAAATAAATGATATTTTAACTAAACATTGCAATTTAAAAATGTACATTTGTGTACTGTACATTGTATCTACACAGTACGTTGAACTATAATATGAGTAACTGTGTATGTCAGTAGACAATTTTCATATCTTATTAGTAATTAGGCTTTTAGTATTTCAACTTTTAATTGTGAATCTCTCTGTAAGCATTTTCGAGCTCTTTGAACAATAAACAATAACAACAACAAAAGTTGGGGATTTATTATTTCACTGTCAGCCGTAGTACATTTGAATTTCCGAGCCGGTCAACCTTTCCGGTCACAGTTTGTACTGTACCTAGCTCTAAGGACAGGACTAGCCGGTGCAACAAGGTTGACGCGGTCAGACTTTATGCTTCATATAGGTTGAATAAGGGGCGGATACAGGATTTAAGTGAGGGGGGGGGGGAAGATTTTTTAGGAACAAAAAAAATAATAATTAGGAAGAAAAAATCGTGCCGCAGGCGAAATTTTTTTTTGACTTAAAAGACTCAAAAAGAGTCAAAATTAATAACTAAAGACTAAAAAACTATATTTTTAACTTTAAGGAACAAAATTAACGGATTAGAACAGGAATTTAGGAACAATTAAAAGATTGTTCAGGAATTAGGAACAAAAATAAATGATTAGGACAGGCATTTAGGAACAATTAAAAGATTGTTCAGGGATTAAGAACAAAATTAAAGGATTCGGACAGGGATTTAGGAACAATAAAAAGATTGTTCAGGAATTAGGAACAAAAATAAATGATTAGGACAGGCATTTAGGAACAATTAAAAGATTGTTCAGGAATTAGGAACAAAAATAATAGATTAGGACAGGGATTTAAGTTGGGTCGGACACAGTATTAGGAACAGGAACAATAATAGGAACATTAGCAATTTAAAAACAAAAAGAAATTACTAGTTCTACTTAAATGCATCAAAATTAGGACCAATATTACAGTTTTGATAAATGAGTATTGATTAAGGAACATTACTAGATATGAACAATATTATAACTTAAGTCTAGTTTCTTACAAATTTCTAATTCTAAATTTATCGTTAACAATAACATTTACTTGTTGTCGTTGATTTTTAAATTAAAGTGAAGAAAGGAAAGTCAAGATTTCCATTAAATAAAAAAAGCTTGAAATTGAAAAACACATACGATTTATAAAATTGGGAACATTTTTTGCCTCGAAATCTCAGGGAGGGGCTACGCCCCTCCCTGAATCTGTCAGGGGGTGGCGAATGTCCCCCCGCCACCCCCTGTATCCGCCCCTGGGTTGAATTTACTTTTACCAAAGGGGCAGATTTGCGTGATTTAATAATATTTTGTTCTGAATTCTCTAACATTTTGAAGACAATTTTTCGTAATTCTGAGCCCCCACAAACTTTCCATTGTCTCAAAAGTTTTGAGCTTGATCGGCTCGTTTTAACCGTTTTTTATGTTTATTGAAAACAAACACCCTGACAGACAAGCAAAGTAATATAGATACAATTCTAAGATGTAATGTAGTACTGTATAAATTCATAAATATCAATTTGATTCCAGATAGAAAATGTAATCCTAATAATGCAGTAAGCTCTGTAATTCTACTACACCTCAACTGAGAAGTTCTTCATAATCCCTAACATCAGCATTCAATATGCACTCTGTAAACAAATATATGATGTCTGTTTTAAGCAAAGCGTAAAACGAAATGCATCATAAGGACGTAAAATGAAGTGAGCTGAGCATTGAAATAACGTGCTTTTTAACACATTGTCTGAAATCTGAAAGACTCCTGAATATGCCATAACTTTGACTTGTTCGTGGTTCAATGCGTAATAGGGATAAGCTGATCTTGGAGGTCACGTGGTTCCGGCGTGTAGAGTTGACCAATGCCTAACAGTAGTCAGCTGATCTATCAGTATGCACGCTGGTGGGGTAGCTGATGGGCCATCTCACTACTATGATACTAAAGATCCATTTGAGGTATATACATTGCAGCTCTTGTTAAATAAACTTTTTCCAATTTAGCTCGAAAATGTCGATATAGACGCGTCTACAGATTCGGAGAGAAACGGTTATTTTAGGAAATTGATGTAAAGTTAAAGGGAGCGTTCGCGAAAAATGAAATGGGGTATATGCTTACGGCGAAAAATAAGCTCTTTTGATCGCTACTAATATTACTTCTATCTGTTGCGTCTATAAGGAGAAAACTTTTAAAAACGACTCATGCTGAAGAACGTAGCGTCCATACAAATTCAGAAAATTGCAACATTCGACTTGGATCGTAAAAAGATCAATTAATTCCATGCAAATCATTCAGATATTGCAAATAATAGTCATCGATTATTTTTCTACGCATTTGTATATAGTTAATATTTCATATTTGGAATTAAATTGAATTTTCTACGATCCGAGCTAGTTGAATGTTGCAAATTTCTGAATTTCTATGACGCTTCGTTCTTCAGGCTTCAGCATGAGTCGTTTTTTTCTCCTTATAGAAGCAACAGATAGAAGTAAGATTAGTACCGATCAAAAGGGCTTATTTTCCTCCATAAGCCTATACCCCATTTCATTTTTAAGGACATATATTTTCTTTGATGCAGTCTTTAATTCTAATTTTCATCTTAAAATTGCTTGTGCCCGAATGCGTTTAATGTAAAACGATTTAAGATAATTTCTAAAATTGATTTCGTCCATATACCAGATCCCATAAATCATTATGATGGCAAATGATTTTTAACTTGGTTTATAACTTGTTCAAAACCCAATTAAATGAATTCAAAGTTTGCCATTAGAAAGGTCAATTTCATTTTAAATTTTAAATTTTTTAATGAAATCGATTTTTCGTGAAAGAATATTCTCGAGAGAGAAAAGAAGTAGGAAGACATAAGTCAGAAATACAGTGATAACTAGAAAATAATGGATTAGTAAGACGACATTATAGCAATACTTAAATGTAATTAATGTTGCAAAGCAATAGTTTTGCTTGACAGTTAATAGATCACTTTTTTAGTGAAATGGGTCTATTTACACTGCACAATTGCTGAGTCTCGTGCTCATTGAACTTTTCAAAGGTTTATTTTTATTTTTAAAGTCGTCTTCCTACTTCAGAGTTTTCTGGTTATCACTGTATGATCAAACGTATACGGTGTTAGAAAAAATTTAAATTGGAAATTGAACCAAAATGAGGGGGGGGTACTTTTGTCACCCCCACCCCTCTATGTTCGAAAGAGCCCGATACAATATATCTTAAACTCCTCTAGGGTTTAAAGGAAATCGTTAAAATAAATTAATTTCTCAATCCTTCTCCTCTTTAACAATCTGGGGATTAATATTTCAAACTCCCCTCCCTCCTCCCACCTCCACATCCTCCACTCTTCAGGCTTAACTATTTTAAATGAATTCAAGTGATACCAGCTCAGTTATCAGCAAAACCTTTCAAATCATTAAAAAACCATCCACATTTTCAAACTTGAGGTTTCCAACAGCTATATCTAACAAAGAGAAAAAGAAAAGAGTTTTTTTTTCAATAAGGATATGGGATGTTTTGTATATCTAGATTCTAAAATGGTGTGTTCGATTGTATTTTTAGGTTAGATTCTCGTTTAAACATATATATTTATACATTTCCATGCAGTTTTAAGAATTAAACTGTGGAATGAAAAGACGAGTTTCAGCCTGCAGTTATGACTTTATATAGTCTATACAACATAAAATACTTGCAATACAACAGCATTAAATATTCATACATTCCTCATATATCGGGTTATGTATAAATTTTGACTTTCAATTCCACACTTAAATGGGTCTTACTGTAGCTTTACCTGAATAACAATGGCAGAGACATTCTTTGGTTTTAAACCCCAAGATTTAGTTTCTTTAAAGGAACTTTCCGTTTATAGAGTGGCATGTCTTGATTCATAACGTTACCCTTAAAAGTTGTGCCAAACCAAGAAAGAATTAGATATCCATGCTTAACTTTTTTTTAAATTCTTAAGTTTCAATTGTTTTTTCTGCAAAAGTAACTTGCGCATTTCTACAGCAGATACAATGGGAGGAATAAAATCGTTAATATTCTCCATATCATTGACCAGAGAAAGAATTTGAAGGGTTCCTTCGTGAATTTGACATGTCCCTCTTTAATTGAAATTATAAAGACAGTTATTTATAATTGTTCCAATATTTGGGTCATAATGATAGATTTTGAAAAATCCATCTTGTGCATTATACAGAAAACTCAGAATTGAAAAAAAGCCAAACAATTGTGGCCTGGATTTAATGGAGACCTCTTGCATTAAATGTGTATACCCTTATTTAGAAATTAATGCATTTATTGTGTTATTTGTCATTTTTTGCTAAAAAACAAATTCTATCTGTTTTTTGAATAATTCTTTTAAATCATGCAGCAACAGGTTGGATAAAATCTAAATTCTGATTTGCTTAATAGGTATTTCAAATATGAAGAAGAAAATTAGGTTAATTGAAAATAAGTTTTAGTTATGATATTTCGAATTAAAGTAAAGAAGGTAGAAGGGTTTCATGATTTATGCAAGGATGTATTGCTAACATGAAAAATTAAACTTAAAACAAAAAAACACAATTTATCGGAAATTTGAAGATCTAGCGTGACTAAAGATTCTAAATATAAAAGAGATCTGATCGATTTAAAAATCGACAAAAAAAAAAGGTTTATTGATTTTTAAAAGGAACATAATATGAATATTCTCTGTGAAGACAGTTTGACTGCACAAGATGGAGATCACTAGATTTTACGTGCGTTCCCAAGTAGCAACTTCCCAAATGTGCAATTTCCCAAGCTGTAAATTCTCAAGTCTGTTGTAGCAGCAGCGCGCGCCCCCTAGCCTGTTCTCGCCGCAGCGCCCGCCACCTAATCTGTTCAAGCCGCAGCTCTTGGAGAAGTTGCTTTGTCTTTGATAGTAAAATAACAAACACCGATCATATCCTTGATCTCAAGATTCAAAACACAAAAGTTCGGCCCTTTAAGGTCATTTTCTAAAGGGGGAAGGAGTGCATGACCCCCCCCCCCTCAGGCTATAGTAAACGTTGATTTAGATCCCCCAGCCTTTACAGAGTTAACAGATTTATTTGAATTGTATTTATTTATAGAATATATCTCTAATCTAGAGATATTGAGAATACTTTAGGTGTAAGGGCTCCCAGGGGAGCACTTATGATGCCAAACCAAACCAATCCAAACAACCCTTCCTTTCTACCAAACCTTGGCCACAGCAAATTGAACCTTCCTTTCTACCAAGCCTTGAATAAATCAAACCAAACCTTTCTTTTTAACAAGCCTTGGCAAGAACCAAACCAAACCTTACTTTCTACCCAGCCTTACCCAAACCGTACCAAACCTTCCTTTCTACTCACCTTTGCCCAAATCATACCAGACCTTCCTTTCTACCCAACCTTGGGCAAACTAAGCCAAATGTTTACCTTTCGACATATTTTTGGCCAAACCAAAACAAACCTTTCTATCTACAGAGCCTTGGCCGAACCAAACCAAACCTTCCTTTCTATCCAGACTTGCAAAACCAAACCAAATTTTTGCATTTCGACGGATTATTGGCCAAACCAAACCTACGTTTCTACCCAGCCTTTGCAAAACAAATAAAATTTTTACCTTTCTAGATATTTTTGGCTCTACCAATCGAGCATCTTTGGCTAAACCATTCCACTTTTCCAAATCACTTACATATCTTTGGTCAAATGTAAATAATCTTTCTTTACTACACTATTATTTTGGCCACACAAAAGTCAAAACAAGTTATTATTAGCCAAACCAACCCAGCTTTGTTCTTCCTATTCTGGCCTTGACAACAACAAACAAAGCTGAACCAATTCGAATAAAAATTTAAACAAAAAAAAACGTTAAATAAAAGTGTATTTTTAGGAGCTGGTTTCGTATGTTCCTGATACACGGAACTGGAAGGGGATCCTCATCTCTATCCTGGTCATACTAGGAGTAGGAGGGGTGGTTGCTTGCACAGTTTATGCTATTACTCCGCCCAAAGGACCACCAAGGTACAGGGTTACCAACAAAGGATGGGAATATAAAGACGACCTGAAACTTACAAAATATGACGATTTCTAGGTTGAATTAAATCTTCTGCCTGGAAGAAAGTCTTTTAGTGGCTTATTTATGATTTGAAGAAGAGCGAATCATGATTTTAGTTTCAGGAATTAAGTTATAAAGAAACAATCGTCTCATGAAGTCCTAGTCACACCCTGTTTAAAATATGAAATATCACGTCTCTCTATTTAAAGGGAATCACAGCTGCAGCAGTACGCTTTAAACATTCATTTGAGCAATTATAATATAATTAGAATAAGAATATTATTTGATTAAAGTTTACAATAATCTACTTAAGTTATTCATGCTTAATTATTATTGACGACATTGTTCTGCAATTTCCTTGACTGTTATCATGGTGTGTGTCTTTACCAAAAGACTGTGAGTGTGTAATAAGGAACTCGTCTGCAAAGCAGTGCAACTGGCTTTCTCAAGCCAGACCATCACCATTTCTTTTCCCTTTATTCTTATTCCCTGATGCGTTTTTTTCATTCATTTTACTCTAAAAAGATTCAGTTTACGAAATCCCGGAACGCGCAGAATTAAAAGACTCCCATTTTTTTATCGTAAGTTAGCAAGTTTTAAAGTGCACTTTTTTTCTTGTTTTCAGCGAAAAAGAAATCAAAGTAGAAAATGTAGAAAATGTAGAAAATGTAGAAAATGCAGAAAATGTAGAAAATGTAGAAAATGTAGAAAATGTAGAAAATGCAGAAAAGAAAATGTAGAAAATGTAGAAAATGTAGAAAATGTAGAAAATGTAGAAAATGTAGAAAATGTAGAAAATGCAGAAAAGGTAGAAAATGTAGAAAATGTAGAAAATGTAGAAATGTAGAAAATGTAGAAAATGTAGAAAATGGCGAATTAGAAATGTTAGATTATTTTTCTCAGATGTATTAAAAGCTTCATCTTCTGGTGCCACCTTGTTAAAAGTTTCTTTAGTTTGTTAATCTTAGATCTAATCTGAGGTTAGTTTTAGAAACTTTTATTATTTTCGTTTCCGCTAGTTTTAATCTTCAGGAAGGTCATGGTTTCCGCTAGTTTTAATCTTCAGGAGGGTCATGGTTTCCGCTAGTTTTAATCTTCAGGAGGGTCGTGTTTTCCACTAGTTTTAATCTTCAGGAAGGTCATGGTTTCCGCTAGTTTTAATCTTCAGGAGGGTCATGGTTTCCGATAGTTTTAATCTTCAGGAGGGTCGTGGTTTCCGCTAGTTTTAATCTTCAGGAAGGTCATGGTTTAGAGGCGTATACAGAATGTGGGGGCTATCGGGGCTTAGCCCCTTTCCTTGGATCAAAAAATCGATAGTTTCCTGAAGGAATCAGGTTGCTGGTTGCTGAGACCCCCCCTTCTCCCCCCGGGAAAGTTTAATAAGCCCACGGATATATAATAAAATAAGCCCTCCTGACAAATTCCTGTATATGCCCCTGGTAAGATATTTAAAACGTACAAATAACATTTTTACGTTTATTCAAAATTAGTTTTTAGTGAACAACTTTATTTTTCGAAAATGGGTTAAAAATTCGCAAATCCTTATTCTTTAAATTCAATTAATTAAAAAAATGTTTCCCGATATTTCATTAGAATTTGTCAATTCCGCACCAAGAAATTTATTCGATCCTTGCCACAAACTCAACTTTGTCAAACTGATATCTTTGCAACCTGAAGGTTTAAAACTTCAATATATCAAAATCAGATGATTTGATGTAACAGAATTCGTAGTTTGAAATATCTAAGGTCTACGACATTTGGTTGCAAAGATATAGGGAAGGGAAAAGCTGAGTTTCTGGTAAAGAGTAAAGACTCAATTCCCCTGCACAAAACTATTCAGACAATTTTTTACTTCTTTTTTCCTCATTTTCACTTTTTTTCAAATTCTTCCTGTTCAAACAAATAAGTTTAGAAAGACCTAACTTGAAACCTGCGTTGCCCAGGGGAGTCATAGTTAGTCCCACCGTTTACCTGACCTTTGTCGTAAATTAAGATTTTAGATATTTTTCCCGTTAAAAGTCGACCCACTCAACTTAGAATCTAGAAAGAACATTTCCGTGGGTCTCCCGAGTGCCCCCATCAAAAACAAATCGGTCCAGGGGTTACTGAGTTATGATCGGACACACAAACAAACAGACAAACAGAGAATACAACTTTATATATACAGATAAAAAGCTATGAAGGTGTCGACTGCAGTACAACTGTCGGATGATTTATAGATTCATTTTTATTCCGTAGAATTGTGTCATAATGCACTTCTGTTGAACGAAATAAAATAAAATGTTACTTTCTGCAGTTGTGAGTTTAATGTATAAAAGGAAAATCCCTGAAAAATTTTATTCATATTCCGGAGTTAAGACAAAGAATACATAAACATACATTAAAGGGTAGAGCATACGTTATAATTTTGTTTATTTCCTTTTCTTAAACATTAAAGAGACTAAACGCGCAATTTACAGTGACTCTCCATGCAAAGCAAGGTTGTTTAGCAAGGTTGCTTACTCTCGATGCGCTCCAATGTACGGAAAAAGTCGTCTCCTTAGCAATTAGAAGTGAAATTCCTAAATTACTGCTACGGATTTTACTGTCCATTGCTTTGGAGACAAAATTCCGTACATTGGCGCTCATCGAACGTAAGCAATTTTACTAAACAACCTTGATGCAACGATTGCAATGCTCAATTCACAACGGTACCCTTGAAACCCTTTTCTGATCAAGAATGTGGAAGATATTGTCGTTTTTCTGGTTTCAAAGTTATACCCGACTGAAATCTGGTAGGTGGGAAGGTATTTAAATGCATAACTAGCACAACTAGCAAACTAAAGATACTATTATTATTGTATATTTTATTCCAATTGATAAAAACATTGCCGAATATAAAGTGTATGTGAACCCCGCTAGATGTTTTGCGGGACTGAAGTATATTTTCCAACCCGTTCTTTAAGTAAAATTCAGATAATCTTCCTGGTTTAAACTCTGTTCCTGCTTCATCTACGCATTATTGAACTTGGTTTATACAAAGTGTTTAAATCTGATTACTCCTATATGTTATACTGCATACTTGAACAGACAAAGCCTTTAAGGGTACTGTTGTGAATCAAGCAATGCCATTTCTATTTAGGTTTATTTGAAATTACGCTTACAGTCCCTTTAATGAGCAACATCCCAGGCTTTGTGTGTTTAAGATATACAACCTCGATTTTGCACAGAGTAAATAGTTCTCTGTTTCTGTTGCAAACCAACTTCACAGCTGACCTAAACCATGAATAGGTTATACTCAGATCCCTGAATCCATTCATTCATCAACCATTTATCAACCATTTATCAACCATTTATCAATTATTTATCAATCATTTATCAACCATTTATCAACCATTTGTCAACCGTTCATCAACTATTTATCAACCATTTATCAACCATTCATCAACCATTTATCAACCATTTGTCAACCATTTATCAACCATTTATCTACCATTTATCAACCATTCATCAACCATTTATCAACCATTTATCTACCATTTATCAACCATTTATCAACCATTTATCAACCATTCATCAACCATTTATCAACCATTTATCTACAATTTATCAACCATTTGTCAATCATTTATCAACCATTCATCAACCATTTATCAACCATTTGTCAACCATTTATCAACCATTTATCTACCATTTATCAACCATTTATCAATTATTTATCAACCATTTATCAACCATTTATCAACCATTCATCAACCATTTATCAACCATTTATCAACTATTCATCAACAATTTATCAGCCATTTATCAACCATCTATCAACCATTTATCTACCATTTATCAACCATTTATCAACCATTTATCAACCATTTATCTACCATTTATCAACCATTTATCAACCATTTACCAACATTCATCTACCATTTATCAACCATTTATCAACCATTTATCAACCATTTTTCTACCATTTATTAACCATTTTTAACCATTTATCAACCATTTATCAACCATTTATCAACCATAACCATTTATCAACCATTTATCAACCATTTATCAACCATTTATCAATTATTTATCAATCATTTATCAACCATTTTTCAACCATTTATCAACCATTCATCAACCATTTATCTACTATTTATCAACCATTTATCAACCATTTATCAACCATTTATCAAATCAATGTATAGTCATGATAAACTTTACCTTGATTATGAACTAAAAAGGTTTAATAAAGTTTTAGTACTGTATTTTAGTATTTTATTAGCAGCTATACAACTTAATAGTTTTTGCAAAATAAAATCCAAACATTTTCTAAGAAAGAAGTGAATTGGCGGAAGTTTTAAGAATATTTAGCGAGCTTTTATGCAAATTTTAAAACATTTTTGCTTTAATGGACTCAAGGGCATCGGTTAACTTCTTTTATTCAAATTTTCTGTCGTACATAAACAACATTCTGTTGTACATAAACAATATTCTGTTGTACATAAACAACATTCTGTTGTACATAAACATTTATTTCGTCGTACATAAACAATATTCTGTCGTACATAAACAATATTCTGTCGTACATGAACAATATTCTGTCGTACATGAACAATATTCTGTCGTACATGAACAATATTCTGTCGTACATGAACAATATTCTGTCGTACATGAAACATTATTTTTCCGTACATAACCAAATTCTTTATTAGCCAAAGATTACTTAAAAATATATTTAATGTTTATATTTAGGGTTCAAGGGCATCGGATAGTTTTCAACCAAATATACAATGGGTCATTCCGCCCCAACCCTACAAATGCAACCTGGATATCAGGTTAGTTTCTCCACAGATCCATTTAGAAAATAAACATGGAATTAATTTGAAAAAAAACCTAATATTTTATTAAATCAAGATTTAAAATTTTACGATGGAGAATCCAATAATAATTCATTGGAAAAATTTAAAGAATAAATGGAATTCCATACTTTTAATCTGTTTCTAATTAGGAGACCAAAGAAAATGATTTTTTAGAAAAATTTAGATGAAAATTTTTAAAAAAAAATGTTTATTATCAAAGAATTTACGGTCACTAAGTAATTAATTATATTTTCAAAGAATATATTTTTTATTGATAAAAGAATTTTTATTTTCTACGATAAATTATAGTTTAGACAAAGTGCAAACAAAAAATATACAGTACACTCATGTATGCTGAGTCCATTAGCGCCTGATCTAATCAGGGTTCAGCCATGTGTTTGTTGTCTATTCTGAACCAATAGAAATAGTATGGCGGTAACATCTATCTCTCTATCTATCTCATTATCCAATCAGAGTTATGAATCCTCCAATCGGCGCTATTAATAAATGGAAATATTTACTTCTATTGAAACTAGTGAGTACTTAGCACGGTAAGGACTATATGTAGATTACACAAGGTGCCATAAACTTTATTAAATGGTTCAGAAAAAATGTACGAAACATTCGAGAATAGAAGAAGAGAATCATCAAGCTAGACTATTCACTATAATTTCAGTAGAAGTAAATATTTGCATTTACTGATAGCGCCGATTGAAGGATTCATAACTCTAACTTGATAATGAGATAGATAGAAATATAGATGTTACCGCCATGCATTTTAAGGTCACACAACACCCTTAATGTTGATTTATTTCAAAACAGTATTGCATGATCTCATAATTTTAGGAACAGAGCTTGTATTTATTAACTCAAACGGGGGTCTAAGGAATATTATAAAACAATTTTGTAAAAAGGAAACTTTTTGTGACAAATCTCTTTTTTAAGGAAGTTAATACAAACTTTGATTTTATAACCCCTACTTTGGCAATACAATGTTGGATATTTCAAACTAGGAATTCGGTTAAATTAAATAATCGAAGTTTGAAATATCAAAAGTTTTTACCAACAGGAGGCAAAAATATATGGATTAGAAAATTTTTATTTGCGACAAAAGTGTTTTATAAATATTTAAACCAGTGTTTTGGACGTGGAAATAAACCAAACCCGCAACCTTTGTGATAGTACAGTTTTCGTAAGTATATTTTCTTATATAAAATAACTGAACTTATATATGTATATACCTTGCTTGTTTGTTTGTCTATTTGTCCAAACGGCTGAACGAGGGGAGGAAGGCCGACCACGACAATTTCTATTCCGAGCCACATTGTCCTCATTTTCTCGTCCGAGCCACCTCGAAATCATCGTCCTATCAATATTATTTTTTTTAAGTGTCTAATCCTTCCAGATTAAACTATTTTTCAAGAATCAAACCACGTTAGGGCATAAATGAAATATCAAATTTTTGTAAATCGAATAAAAAGTTTCAATTGAATTAAAGAATTCAAGTTTAATGTCTTTAAAAAGTTCACCTTTTTTACGCGCATTTTCAGATATTCCTGGTGTAGAATGCCGCAAATAATTCCAAGTTTAAAGAACTTCAATCTTTTTTGTTAACTTTAGTAAAAACCATAGAATTTTTCCGGGTGGTTCCTTGTGAAAATTATAGGCAAAGGTACGCCGAATATTTTGCTATTTATTTCATATCGTGAAGGTTAGCCATCACGGAGGCAGAAGAGATTTAAGTTTTACCTAAATAAAGTTTGACATCATTCTCATGGGTTTGAAGATTCCAACATGATATAATCATTGCAATACTATAGTCCATCCATATTTTATGCCCTAACGTGGCCAGATTTTTAAAAAATAGTTTTATCTTCAAGAATTGGGAACTTTTTAACACAAAATAATCGAAGGCCGAAGATTTCGAGGTGGCTCGAACGAGAAAATGAGGAGAATGTGGCTCGGACGAGAAATTGTTGAGGCGGCCTTCCTCCACTCGCTGAACCGATCAGACTAAATTAGACTTTCGATGCGTGCAGCCTAAGAAAAAGTGGGATTTGTTGATAGTGTCCTGGAAATGCACCAACTTAAAAAGAAAATCCTCTACAATTGGAAATGACGAAAATGGCGACTTTCAGTTTCTGAGCAACAGTTTCTAATGTAAATGGTGTAAACCTTTCATATTTCAAACTTTGACCTTTTAATCTGACATTCTTTAAAGTGTGACAAGGTAAAGTTCAAACAGCCATCACATTACGAATGTACAGGGATTTGAATATAACAATCAGAGGCGAGTTATAATTTTTTTAATTTGAACATCGTGCGAATTGGTAAATTGAAATTATTTTATGTAATTTCTGATAAGTGCTCTGGATGTATTCTAAATGTTTTTGATCGTTAACTATACAAACATAATAAATGGACGGATCTAAGAGAACTTAAGAAGCAGAGAAATTATAACTTTCTATGATGAAAGCAGGATTTTTATTATCTTTTATACCCTAGTCAATTTTAGCACTTAAAATAACTTAATTTTTATTATATAACCGTCAAAAGAGCAACACAGGAATTGAGCCGTTGCGACAAACTCAAATGTTCAAATATGTATATCTGCATCCTGAGGGTGTAAACTTTTGAAATTTTAAACTTAGATTATCCAATCCACAAACTTAGATTGTGTAGCCCAGCTATAACTCTACAAATGTTGCAAAAAAAAGGAATTCTAATTTTCAGTTTGCGTCAAAATCTCAATTCCTTTTTTCAAAAATATTAGATCTTATACCGATTACTTTCGAAATTATTTTTTTCAAAAATCGGAGCCAATTCCATAATATACTAATATACTAATATACTAATATACTAATATACTAATATACTAATATACTAATATACTAATATACTAATATACTAATATACTAATATACTAATATACNTCCTGCTAATCCCACCCATTTTCCACCCATTTTCCTGCTAATCCCACCCATTTTCTTGTTAATCCCACCCATTTTCCTGCTAATCCCACCCATTTTCCTGTTAATCCCACCCATTTTCCTGCTAATCCCACCCATTTTCCTTTTTATTTAATTCTTTTATCAATTGTGCGTGTTAATAATTGAATATTTTTCTATAAATAATTTTTTTTTTTAGATTTTCAAAATTAGCCAAGTACTCGTTCATTCGCCTTGGTTCCAGGTATACATTGATAATATATTCATCTCTTATTAATAATTTCTGGAGATTCGATCTTCAAATTTTTTCTCACTGTTCAATGCAAGGTTGTATAATATAGTTAGGTTACTTCGATGCGTTAGGGTGTACGGATAGATACCAACCTCATATGACGTCATTGATTATAGAAGCAAGAATTACGTCATCTGAAGGTGTTATTTATCCTTCTTAGGAGACGACTTTTCCGTAAATTGGAGCGCATCGAAAAAAAGATAGGAAAACCACAGGAAAAAGATAAGAAAAAGATAGGAACACGATAGGAAAAAGATAGGAAAAAGGTTGGAAAAAGATAAGAAAAAGGGGAGAAAAAGATAAGAAAAAGGGGAGAAAAAGATAGGAAAAAGGTAAGAAAAAGATAGGAAAAAGATATGAAAAAGGTAGGAAAAAGATAGGAAAAAGATAGGAAAAAGATAGGAAAAAGGTTGGAAAAAGATAGGAAAATGTTAGAATAAGGTAGGATCAAAGAAGAAAGGAAAACAAAAGAAAGTTAAAAAATGGACGTGAAAAGAAAACTAAAAATACAAACACCTTGGACTAATTTTTTTTGTTTATTTTGATTACAGTGTGTCCCAATAAGCATGGAAATTTAATGACGACTTCTTTGTCGTTTTTGTTCTCTGCGGGATTTTTTCGTAAACATAATTTTTTAGTATCACAGTTCAACAATTAACACCGAAAACTGCTAGTCTTGGGATTTCCAAAATGTGGTCTACCATTTTTTACCTTCAAAATTGACGGAGATATTAGGAAATTAGTCCAGATTCCAGTTTATTCAAAATCAACAAAACTATTCAAAAGTTTAATATTTTCGTTAATTTAAAGATACAAAGAAGGTAGAAATCTCATTTGACTTTCAATCTCTTTATATCATTTGTCAAATATCGGAAATCAAAGACGATATTTAAGAGAACATGTAATAGCCTAGTTATTTATATTTTGACTGTTTAAAATAAGTCTTGCAGAAGTCTACATATTAAATGCATAACATTTATTTAGAATTTACAATTTTTCAAATTTTAGACAAAATCCAAACGCCGGCACAAGGTTTTTAGAATAAATGGCGTTTCTGTACAATTTATCAAATGTTTATTTTATTCAAAAGAAATGCTTGAACGAGAAAAATGGAAGAAAATGATGATTAATGAAATATAGGACTATACAAGGTTTAGGAAAATGGGAGAAACAAAGTATTAAGTTTATATTGCGAAGTAAACTGAAAACCAAGATTTGCAAGCTCTCACACAAATACTATAATCTACAGAATAAAACAACATTTGTATTTATATATGTTGCCTATTAGAGATGTCAACGTTTTGATTTTTCTAGATTTTAGCTTTCGTTACGATAGTGTTCATCAAAAGTATTAACGTTTGAAACGTTACGTTGAACATTATGAAATTTTATGGCATAGAGTAACGTTACCAAGTGAATTTTCTACACTTGAATACCTTATACAACGTTAAGCTTTAGTAAATGTTAGTGAAAAAACAGTAAGCTCCGTTACGCTTTTGCATTTCCCGTTTTAAAAAACTTTTCCAACGTTACGTTAAAGCTCATGTAATATTACCACAATTTTTTAACGTTCAACTTTCATGCAAGGTAAAATTTTTCAGAGACCTTACGTTACACTTTCACTTAGTTTAAGATCTAAAAGATGACAAACGTTTTGCTTTAATAAAACGTCATTGGAGCATAGTTCTGTACGTTACAATGCATTTCAGTGCAAAGAATATTTTTTGTTAACGTTACGTTTTATCTTAACTTTTCCAATATAAACTCTTTTAATTACGTTTAGAAATTTTACTAAAATGCAACTTTTCTTACGTTACGATTTATCGAAACGTTATTGTGAAAACTTTTTTGTTACACTTTTTTACAACTGACAATCAAAACTGTTTATTCGTTTCGTTTCTAAGAAAGATTTGAAAAAATGTTCTATACGTTGCGTTGTATTAAAATGTTCAAGCCTTAATGTTTCTAACGTTACACTTTATCAAAATAATATTGTTTCTAAATGAAAGCATTGCAAGATTTTTTCCGTGATAATTACATTTTTTTATTCATCCTGTATGTTGCTGTTGTATTGTTAACCTTTTTAGAGAATGTGCAGTAGAAGAATATGCATTATGAAAGTTTTTAGCATTAGACTTTCAACTCAAAGTGTGTCTTTACGGGACTAGAGACGTAATTTCAAGTGACCTTCCATTTATGGAGTGGCAAGTCCAGTAGGGGTGATCAATATTGGAATAGAGCCAACCGCCCACCGGAAGTCGCTTCGTTTTCACCGTAAGGCCACAAAAAAAATTTCATTTTTTTATTTCATGTTATACATCATTTTCTTGGAAATTCAATGCTAAATTCAAATCTGAAAAGCGTTTTAAAAAATTGAAAATTGAGTGAGTCAGAGCTAAAAAACTCATCAAAAACATTAAAAAGTTTTAAAACCGGAATTTAGTACCGTTATTTGGCCATAACTTCTTAAGATTTTAATATATTTAAAAATGGTTTTCGAATCTGATTTCAGCATGAAATTTATAAGAAAAAGATGTATCATATTTTTTTTTTGAAATATTTTTTAGGCCTTACGGCGATTTCTTTAATATTAAATTGTCAATTCGAAACCCTATGGACGAATTTGAAATTTTTTTATTACAATATTTTTATTAATTTGAAACGCAGCGACCTCAGGTGGGCGGCTGGCTGAGTTCTAAAAAAAAGTCACAAATCAATCACCCTGAACGTCCAGCATACATTTACAAGATAGGAAAACACTCCTAATTTTCAAATCATCAATCAGATTAAGGTATACACGTTATTATTGGGAATCAAGCATGGCCCTCTTTAAATGGAGGATCACTAGAAATTACCATCGTGTATTTGACGAGCTTAAAAAATAGACATGTTTTGGGACACTTTATAAAATGAGTTAAAATTCGTCAAGGCAAACCACTTTTGCATTTTTTCTTTTTTTCTATCTAACAGAATTCATAGTTTAAAATATCTAAGGTCTACGACTCTACAACATTGGGTTGCAAAGATATAGGGATTAGAAATAGAAGTTTGTGAACAACTCAATTCCTTTAGACATTCTTATCTAACAGAAGTCATAGCTTGAAATATCAAAAGTCTACAACACCAGTTTGCAAAGATGTAGAGATTAGAAAATTATAATTTGTGGCGAATTTTTAGTTCTTTTTGTGTTTTTTTTTATGTTACTTACAAAGTGAGTAAAAAAGCGGAATTAGCTTTAGTTTACAAACCACAATGAAAATGTTTTCAGAGTTCATGTTTGGGGTTAAAAAACAAGTGCTAAATTTTTTTAACACAAACAGCTCGAAATAAAATTATTTAACATTTTTTTCTTTTTAAAAAAATTAATTAAAAAATCAACTTTTTTTTCTATTCTAAAGTTTCATAAAAATCTATTGATGAATAAAACATAACACGCATTTTCCATTTGATAAAATATTGTTGCATTTTAGTAAGTATCTACACTTCTAAATTTTCAACCTAAAACATGAACCATGCCAACTGGCCAACTGAAGTTATGATTTCAAGTAGTCAAATAAACATGAAACCCAGCAATTCTGTTCCAGTTCTGTTTGTTCACAGACCCGTTCCACTTAAAAGTTGATTTTTTGCAATTAGTAAATCATTTGCTTTATAACAGAAAATGCATATGTAAAATTTCCTAATGTCGTCTTCCTTTTCCAGAGTTTTAGTGGGTTTCATCAAACAATGGCAAATCAAAAACCTTTGATGTCCAAGAAGTTTATAAGATTTGAATTTTCACTAATAGCATGTTACAAAAAAACACGTTTACACTTTAGAAAGGAGCTAAGTTTTTTCAAATTTACTAATCCCTATATCTTTCCAACCCGATGGTTTAAACCTTGTATATTTCAATATTAATGGTCTACGACATCGGGTTGCAAAGATATATTAAATGAAAATTAGAGTTTGTGGCATAAACTCATTTTCTTAAAACTTGAAATGAAAAACCATAAGTCTTTGCTCTTATTATCATCAGTTAAATCTCTTACATTGATATATTAGGAACGTTTTGATTGACAGAATTATTGTTACACTTTTGAAATTTAAACTCAGCCCTCATAGTCTAACGTTTTATGAACAACATTTTCATCATATATCTAACGTTAGACTAATCAATTTAGTATTCAAAGAAAAGTTATGAAACGTTTTGATTTACAGAATTACATTTTTTAAAATGTTATACGTTACATTATTGAAATTTTACTCTGTAAAAAAACTTTCGTTTCCTGATTAATAAAATAAAAACCCATTTCTGCAACGTTGAATTTTTCATTATATTATAAGGGAAAACGTTTTAAAAACGTTTTCATAAACAGTAATGCATTTTTCAGTTATACAACGTTACACTTTTTATAAGTTGAACTTTGAAATAGAAATCCTTTCGTAACGATATTCAATCAAATCACAATTCATTTTTCAAACGTTAGACTTTCAAGCTCCCCTTGGAAACAAAACATTTCTTTACGTTATGGTCAAAAAAGTTGTAGATATTTGAAAAATAACGTTACATTTCCCCAAAACGCTAACGTTGGGGGTATGTTCCTCTAACGTTAACGTTTAACGTTAACGTTAGGTATGGGCTCCTATAACGTTAACGTTTAACGTTCACGTTATATAGAATATATCCAAACGTTACACATTATTGTAACGTAACGTACAAAAACGTACATTTTTACGTTACGTTACACTATCGTTGACATCTCTATTGCCTATAGCCGGCCAAACGGCTGGACCGATTGGGCTGGAATTGTTTGTGGACACTCAGGGATGGCCGGGGAGTGTTATTAAAAATTCGAAATTTACAAAACATTTTTTTAAACTTTTTTTTTCACGGGCAACGCCGGGCTCTTCAGTTAGTAATATATATAATGTTACTTATAACAAAAGACGAGGCTTCTGAGACGACTCTATGGAATCTGAACGAACTTGTAATTTTAGTTGATGATTCGTTCCCTGTTATAGCTCTAAACTGTCTGCATTCTTTGCTTAATCATTTAGCACATCTTTAAAATGCAATATTAAAGACCTCTGACGAAAATTAACCTCAGATCTGCAGAACTCATGAGTTTCAGGTCGTTATTAAAGTCTCATCCTTTGTGGGTAACCCTGCACCATGGTAATCAATCAATAAACCTTAGCTCTAAAACCAATTTTCATTAAATGAAGATTTTTTTCATTTTAGTTGTTATACAAATTTTTTTAACGTCCATATTTTAAATACTTTTTTATACTATTTTTGTCGAATATTGAATGAGAGATAAAAATATGACTGAGCATATTTCAATACAGGGTATTCTTTGTAGATAGTTTTACTTAATACTTAAACTTAGTTGTAGCTCTAAAATGTCTACAGCGAGACCCATGAAACTGTAGTATAGGATCTAAAAAGGCATTCATTCAAAGAACATGTTTCTCATTAGAAATTTGTCAATAAACCAATGTTAGAACCAATTCTTTCTTTTTCATCATTATATTGATTTTCTTATTCTTTGTGAATTTGTTAGCAGATTTCTCCTAATTCTTCAAATGTCGTCTTTTCATTAAAAACTACAGGAAATCTACAGAAAATGATTTTAAACATTGAGACATTACAGAAACTATTACATATATAAGATTAATTTATTTTTAATGATAAGAGTTAACTTTGTTTTTCTCAACCTGTTCCTAAACAATTAATTACTTAACTAAAGATTTTTTTGCTACATTTTTCGTCGTCTTTATTTGATAATTTTAAAAAAACCGATTCTCAAAATGCACAATCGATGAGGATTTTGAAGATTACATTTACGTTTTTGGTGGAAAAATATAAACCGTAAAAACGTCTGATAGGTCTAAAATGAACCCTAAAAAATATTTCAACAATATACTGTACTCTCAGTTCAACTACCATACATTGCCGGTCACTCCCTTTAAAGCAATTAGTTTACCAATATTTTGAGAACCAGCTTATTAAAATGTTTGTTTAAACAGCAAAATTGTTGAGTTTAATGTCTATTGGTCTATTTAAAATCATCACAATTGAATCGCATTTTTTTCACTACAAAATGTATGAACGAGTTAGTATGTTAAAAAAGGCCAAGGCATTGCGACACTTTAAATTTGACCCGTCCTTAAATACAAGTTTATAATTTTCCAAGCTGTCTGGATCCTCGTGCGTAGTACACTATATAGACTGTAGAATTTAGAGTCGATAAATGTCGAACTGGATGGTGAGTAGAATTTATGACATTTTTTCAGATAATTTTTTTAAGGCCACCAACGTGCATTTAAGGGAACTCTGTAATTGAATGGTCAATAACATTTTATATACATTTAATACTTTTTGCATTAAAAGCATTTACTAAAATCAACTTGTAGAAGGATGCATTATTATATTTTCTTTTAACATAAAGTTAAAAAAAGAATGATTTTGTTATTTTTTTCGTCAATGTTATGACTATTACAACAGAAATAAATAAATAAAAGTTGAGTTTTTCTTCCCGTTAAAACTTTTTCCAAACCTTGTGAGAAAAAGATTTATCTTTTGACGGGACAAAACATTACGATTTTGAAAAAGCTAAGGCCAAAGGTTTCTTTTTATGAAAATGTACAGGGCACTTCGCGCCCCTCTTCGATTTTAACTTTTAATTGATGCTCTATCTAGGGATGTTAACGTTTTCTTTTTTTTGAAAAACGATTATTTCGTTATAAAAAAGGCGACGAAAAATCAAAAACCAAACGATCGTTTTTAAAAACGATCGTTGTTTTAAAATTTCGTTTTATAAAAATGGTTGTTTTTAAAACGATCGTTTTTATAAAACTCGTCGTTTCGTTAACGATCGCTAACGACGACCCTTCGTTAACGATCGTGAACGAAGAGAGGGAACCGACCTGAAGGGCATCTGTACTTATCATTGAGTGTTTTTAAAAATATCAAGAAGTTTTAGTTCCCCCACAACTCTTCAACTTCATGTAAGACGACATTCAATAAATTTGCATGACATTTTTTCAAAAACGATCGTTTTTTTAAAAACGACCGTTTTTATAAAGTTCGTCGTTTCGTTAACGATGGTTAACGACAACCCTTCGTTAACGATCGTTAACATAATTGTCAATAAAAAATTTTGTTAAAAAAATATCGTTTTTTTAAAAACAATCGTATCTAAAACGGTCACCACTCGTTTTCATAAAAACGATCGTTTTCAAAAACGATTAACAACCCTAGTTCTATCTACGACATTCTTTTCTTAGATTATCAAACAATAACACAAAAAAACTTTTCGTGGATTTTTTTTTCTCGCAGGTTTTACAATGTTTCTATTTACAATGTTTTCAAAAGAATCTGATTTTTATGGGGTTGGTTAAAGTAAATTTTTAATACTTTTTGATTATTGATAAAATGATTATATTAATATAAAATAACTCCCATTTCTATTTTTGCATTGAACAATTGAAGTGTGCGTTTGGAAAAAACATCATTTAATTCTTTCTAACAAAAATTAGATTTGCTTTGTTAGAGTTTGGGTTCCAGTTTAACTTAATTGTTTAAAAGAATTGAATAAGTACAAAAATTAAACTATTTGATGCTAGGTTATTGTTTTCGAAATTAAGGACACTTAAAGAGATTTAGTCCGCGGTTTCACAGTTTGTTCATGAAGTCCGAACCTTGTTTACAATCTATGTTTGTTATTGCCTAAATTATACATTTTATTGTGACATATTTTCACATAAAACTACATACAACAACGTACATTCTGTCTGTACATTCTGTCTGTACATTCTGTCTGTACAGTCTGTCCGTACATTCTGTCTGTACATTCTGTCTGTACATCCTGTCTGTGTATCCTGTCTGTTCACTCTGTCTGTTCGTTCAGTCTGTGCAATCCTGTCTGTGTATTGATCCCTAAGTCAAAATCCGTCGAAAATAACGTAAAAATCAAATTATATTCTTTAATACCTCAAATATTACAAATAGATAGTAAAATTTAAGTTTTCAATACCAAATACGAAAAATTTTTAATTTCTTGATGAAAATGTAATTTAAAATTTTAAAGCAGAACATTTAGTTTTTCGGTAAAAAGTTTAAGTGCGGGTAAACGGCGGGAGTAACTTTTAGTAATTTGGGCAGAGCTAGGTGGCCAAGCTAGTATCTAAAATATATAAAGTTGTATTCTCTGTCTGTCTGTTTGTCTGTTTGTCATGACTAAAGAACCCATTGACCAATTTGTCACAAATTTTAATTAGAAAACTCAGGAGCCCGCGGGAATGTTCTTAGCATGGTTTTAAGATTCTAAGTTGAGTGGGTCGACTGCAATAGCGAAATTTTAGTTTCCCGGTAAAATCGTTCAAGTGCGGGTAAACGGCATAAGTAACTTTTTGTAACCAAGCTAGCTATATATAAAGTTGTTTAATCTCTGTTTGTTTGTTGAATGTCCGATCATAACTCAATAACCCCTTGACCGATTTGCCTCAGATTTTGATTGGGGAACTCGGGAACGGGAATGGTCTTAGTTTTGTTTTGAGATTCTAAGTAGGTCGACTTTTAAAGGGAAACATTTGGGAAATCATAATTTAAACGACAAAGCGCGGGTAAACTGTGAGTACCCTAGGCAAGCTAGTTTTAATAATGTAAATTTTTTTTAGTAATCCGGAAGTAGAGACAGTTATGAACGGATCTCATCTTCAATATGTTGCCTGGGCATCAAATTCATCTTTAATCATTGTAAAAAACAATGATTTATATTATCAGGTTATTATGACATATATTCATTATAAAACAGGTTTAAATAGGATTATATATACGAATAAACTAGTTTATATTATCAGGTTATTATGACATATATTCATTATAAAACAGGTTTAAATAGGATTATATTTACGAATAAACTAGTTTATATTATCAGGTTATTATGACATATATTCATTATAAAACAGGTTTAAATAGGATTATATTTACGAATAAACTAGTTTAGAAACTAGATCACTTTTTAACTTACCGCCGTTTTGCTAACATAACTGACCTATGATTTTCCCAAATAGAGGAGAGGGACGTCAAGGTACTTTCGTCTCTTGGGACAATTAAGTAAAATAACGACCCGCTCGAACAAAAAATCGCGCATCTTTATCTTAAAAGACGATAAAACTGTACAACAACCTTTTCGGGAAATTAAACGTGTTACTAAACCACTGGTTTCCTTGACTAATCTTGATAGTAAAACAAGAGCACAGCAAGGCAACATTGGTTTTGGGATCCCTTGGAAAAGTAACCTTAACCACCTTGTAAAGTAGTGTTGTATATGAAGAAATGGACGAGGGAGAAATATTTTCTCCAGCCAAAAGGGCTAATCCAAATTGAACTCATCTACCCGATATTAAACGATGTACGGTACAAATACCTTATTTAATGTAAAAATACAAACTAAGGTTGATACTAATGGTTAGAAAACTTGAAGTAAGAAGATAGAGTCACAACTCTTAACAAACTGATCTTACATCTTCCTAATGAGAAGGTTCGTCGCCAACTGCCCGTTCTCCGGGTAACATGAGTTGACCTGCTCCCTTAGGTCTGGAAATCCCTAGTTTTCCAACTTTCCAAGGTGAATACCCGGGGTTCGTTTACCCTGGGCCCCTTTCCAAGGTAAATACCCGGGGTTCGTTTACCCTGGGCCCCTTTCCAAGGTGAATACCCGGGGTTCGTTTACCCTGGGCATCATCAAATTCTTGCCTCCGCTATACAGTAGTTGTAAATAATTATTGGTTTGATCAGATTATACAATATACATGTAACTTTTTGTTTCCTTCACACTTTATTTCAAATTCTCTAATGACCACTTTCTTATTTTCCATTTGTTTTTTTTATGATTTGCTATATTGACCATTTTCTTAATTCTCATTCAACCTAGCAACAATTGTCTTTATCTCTCAGTCATAGATTACGAAGTGTTGGAACGCTGTGGCTGGAAAAACCTTTGGAAATATAAGTAAAGCATATAGAGTATGAGGTTTTTTTTCTTTTGGAGCAAATTAAGTATATAAAGCCAATAGCAATTGGCATATTATATAAAAATATATATTATATTATTATTATTTTGTTTAGCCCTCTGTAGAATCAAGTACAGTACACAGAATAACAAGTACTGGTGTTGAGGGAGTCTTGTTTAATGGTGTACCGGACTGGATTTATGAAGGTACAGTTTTTAATAGTGTACCGGACTATTTTTATGTAGGTATAGTTGTCTAATGGTGTACTGGGCTGGATTTATGAAGGTACAGTTGTTTAATGGTGTACCGGACAGGATTTATGAATGTACAGTTGTCTAATGGTGTACTGGGTTGGATTTATGACGGTAAAGTTGTCTAATGGTGTACTGGGCTGGATTTATGACGGTACAGTTGTCTAATGGTGTACTGGGTTGGATTTATGACGGTACAGTTGTCTAATGGTGTACTGGGTTGGATTTATGACGGTACAGTTGTCTAATGGTCTACTGGGTTGGATTTATGACGGTACAGTTGTCTAATGGTGTAATGGGCTGGATTTATGAAGAAACAGTTGTTTAATGGTGTACCGGGCTGAATTTATGAAGGTACAGTTGTTTAAAAGTGTACCGGACTGGATTTATGAAGGTACAATTGTTTAATGGTGTACCGGACTGGATTTATGAAGGTACAGTTGTTTAAAGGTGTACCGGACTGGATTTATGAAGGTACAGTTGTTTAAAGGTGTACCGGACTGGATTTATGAAGGTACAGTTGTTTATTGGTGTACCGGACTGGATTTATGAAGGTACAGTTGTTTATTGGTGCACCGGACTGGAGTTATGAAGGTACAGTTGTTTATTGGTGTACCGGACTGGATTTATGAAGGTACAGTTGTTTATTGGTGTACCGGACTGGATTTATGAAGGTACAGTTGTTTATTGGTGTACCGGACTGGATTTATGAAGGTAAAGTTGTTATTTAATGGATTTTTAAAAACACAAAAATTTTAATAATATTTGGTTTTATAAAATTAGGGGTTACTAGAGTGTTAAATTAAAATATTTGTTTTACAAGATTTGCGCTCCAAAAGATTGCGATATTTAAACGTTAAAGCCCAAATGAATTGTGCTTCGAAGGACCTGTATTTGTAGTTTCAAGTGACCCTCCATACAAAGATGACAATGCCTGGTTCACAACGGTACCCTTTAGATACAGCTAGTTATCTGACCAATAATGAGGAACATATTTTTTTTTTTAAGGTTTAAAAGTTTTTAATTCTGATAATTCATATATAATTTCCTGCAGAAGAATTGCGCAAGTGAAATTTTTTTTAAAGAATAAAATTGGTGTTTAATTGATCAGACAAAGTTCATAATGGTACCGTTGTTAATCGAGCATTGATTTGCTTGCATAAATATCACTTGAATTGAAACTACCCAGTTCTAAGTGCATTATCATGTTTCAGAATCTAGCAAATATTAAAATAAGTAAATTTAAATTTTCGGACATTTTTGTGAAACCACATATGTAGACAATATTATAGCAACAAATTTTATTATTTTTTAGTTTACAAATATTTAATGCATATGTATATATTGTATTTCTATATATCTATATATCTAAAGTTTTCTGTTGAATTTGATCCTGAAATATGTTGAACACATAGTTTTGAATAGTTTGATGAAATCTTAAACTCAAGTTCTCCTCGCATATTTCAATACCGGGGATGTAAGCTGCACAAAACACAAAATAGAAGAAATCATAAATTGATTAAAATTGAGCCTGCACCAACAATAAACGTACTGTAGGGGGACCACGTAAACTAAGTGTACATACCGAAGGTCGAAACAGGGCAAATTAATTCATATTCTTTAAGAAATATCAGGGGATATAAAATATTTTCATTTTCAATTTCTTTTGCATTTTCATAACTCTTATTGTTGTAGAAGAACTATTGAACAGTGGATCAGCCTCTTGGGTTTCTCCGGGTGGTACTTTCCTCGCCTTCTGTACTTTTAACGATACCAGAGTCAGGACCCATCATATCAACAGCTTCTACTCTATGGACCAGGTGAACATAGCGTATCTGATACCAGAGTCAGGACCCATCATATCAACAGCTTCTACTCTATGGACCAGGTGAACATATCGTATCTGATACCAGAGTCAGGATCCATCATATCAACAGCTTCTACTTTATAGATCAGATACTATGTATCTACTATTTTTTAATTCTTACAACTTAATTTTAATCAACACCTTGTAAGTTTGTTTTTATTTTTCCCCAAAACTGTACTTTTTTGTGTAAACAATAATTAGAAAATTGGAAAATTAGAAAAATAAAAAATTTTCCTTGTTTTTTCTTGACGGTTAAATCGGTTATATATTAGAACATACTTAGTTTTGTTAATATTACTGATGATATATGCCATTACATGGCAAATTATTCTTAGCTTTTAATATATTAAGTTTTTCTTTAATTAAATTAAATTATTGTTTCAGAGTACAGTAAGATATCCTTTGGCAGGAGATATAAATCCAGGGGTGAACCTTACTCTCGTAAAATTAGGTATTATTCTAATTATTATTATTATTATTATTATTATTATTATTATTATTATTATTATTATTATTATTATTACTACTATTTCCATTATTATTATTATCAATATTATTGATATTAATATTATTCCCCAGGTGTGGATGGTGTGGGCCCCTACTGGTTCTTGAGTCCCCCGAGGGAACTTGAGAAAATGTAAGGTTTAGGCAATGATAATAAAGATAGAAAATCCCGAAGGAAAATACTACTAATTAACCCCCCCCCCTGCCCTCTATTCTCTTCCTATTACATGTTTCAGCTAAAAATAATACACGATTAGCCTTTAGATAACTAGAAAAAAATATTTTCTGTTTTTATTGAAGTAATTAACATCGAAGAAAAAGAATATTTTTTAACCATCAAAGTTAGTCACGCGAATCAAAATGAGCTCAGTATGCCCGGATTGCATTGATTTGTCATTTAAAAAGCAACAATCTGTCAGGAATCAAAATATATATATTTTTGAATTGTCAAATAAAAAAATCTGAAAAATCTACAATAAAAGGGTGAAATGGGTTCGAAAAAAAACACTCTTTGTTAAGTTTAAATATAAAATCAAAATCAACGTTAGTTTTTACTTTTTATTTTCAAATTTTTTAAAGACAATATAATTGTTTCATCCAATTTTTCTTTCTTTTTAGGACTCCAATTAATCACCATGAAGGGGGGTTTGGGTAAGATTTCAAAGGACGTGGGAAAGGGGTTTAGGATTGTATGATATTGCTCAGACAGAAGCAAAGTTGTTTTGATATAAAAGTTTGATTTTTTTATTTCCGAAAAAAATAGAATTTATATACTTTTCATACAGAAAGAGGAAAAGATTTGCATGTTTAAACGTAGATTATTTTTCAATTACGGACCTTTTCATGTTTATGACATTTTTTAGAATTTAATTTCTGTACAAACATGTAGACAAGGTAGAATATCAGTTTTAGGAGATTTATGACTTTGCTAGATTTGATCAAATTAAAAGTTTATCGAGAATCAAAGTTTGATAAAATTAATTAACACCTTTCCCTTCTACAGGTCATTATTTAAACGTCTACGACAATGAGGCTAAAAGTAATATTTAGTTGAAAAAAATGTTCTTTTGTTTTTTTTTTGCCATAAAGAAAAGAGACTATTCACCTATTTGAAAAATGGAATATATCTTATTTTTGGAATTAGAAACAAACTTTAGGCCAATCTTTCTGTAAATTGACCAAAATGATCTTTATTTGTTAATTATTGCGTTTATGGCCATTAAAATTTTGTGGATCTTTTAACCATTTGCAATGAATTTTAAATCAAAATTTAAAAAATTCTAAAAATTAATTAATGCTTTGTCCTATTTAAAAACATATTTATGAACATATTTGCAAAATTCACGACATTTACAAGAAGAGACCTGGGTTTTGACATAAAGAAAAGATCAACAAAAATTTTGAGAAACTAGAATACTTTTTTATAAAAAAAAGAATTTATGGATTGTAATAGATATGATCTTGACGAATTGAGACAATGATCAAGAACATATCCAGTTTGGACAAACAAATCATCTTCTAATTCAAGATATATATTTTAAAAACACTTTACTTAAAGTAAGTGTGAAAGGTGGTATAGGTTGATATCGAATCGAATTCCATATTATTGCCTGGTGCATCTATAAATGGAGAACATGGTTAAAAACGTCTTATACCTAAGAGCTTTACAGCGTCCATTAAAATTCACATTATTCAACTCAGATCTTAAATAATTCAATTAAATCTAAAATAAGTCATTTAGATATTACAACCTATACATGTCGAATGCAATTCGATGCATTCGAAAAAAGTTGATATTTCATGAATTTTTTTATTTGTTTTTAATGTGATGCAATTTAAACGACGGTTAGTTGGCCGCTAATTGTTCTGCTGTAGTTCCACGAGGGAGAGACACCTAGCGGACAAAAAGTCGTCGTTTTAAGTGCATTGAATATGAAACTAATAAAAAATATTATGAAAAACACTAAACCTATGGCTATATTTCCAAATAGAAAGAGAAAAGAAAACAATCATTCCTTTGTTTTTTGGTTTTTACTGTATGATTTTTTAGGGATTGGTATATCAGTTCTGTGTCCTGGGCCAATGATGACACACTAAGGAAATCATTAAACATGAATAACAAGAAAACTTTTACTTTTGACATTATTCAAATAAAACTTTATTGCAGAAATTTATTGTCTAAAAAAGAAAGTTGTGATTGCAAATAAAATATTGAATATTAAAATTGCATATTCTGACTTTCGTTCATTTATGCATCACTTACGAGGCATTTGATGCTTTAGTGAAAAAATGAAAATTACCCCTTTTTCAAATTCAAAATTTTAATATTTTCCGTATGAACATATTTTTTTATTTGGACCCTATCAATATTTCACAGTATAGACAAAAAGTGAAAACACATTAGTTCATATTTACTGAAGTTTATTTAGTTAAATAAAAACCTCAATATGATACACTAGATGGAATAGTAAAACACCTCAATATGATACACTAGATGGAATAGTAAAACACCTCAATATGATACACTAGATGGAAGAGTAAAACACCTCAATATGATACAATAGATGGAAGAGTAAAACACCTCAATATGATACACTAGATGGAAGAGTAAAACACCTCAATATGATACACTAGATGGAAGAGTAAAACACCTCAATATGATACACTAGATGGAATAGTAAAACACCTCAATATGATACACTAGATGGAAGAGTAAAACACCTCAATATGATACACTAGATGGAAGAGTAAAACACCTCAATATGATACACTAGATGGAATTGTAAAACACCTCAATATGATACACTAGATGGAATAGTAAAACACCTCAATATGATACACTAGATAGAAGAGTAAAACACCTCAATATGATACAATAGATGGAATAGTAAAACACCTCAATATGATACACTAGATGGAAGAGTAAAACAACTCAATATGATACACTAGATGGAAGAGTAAAACTTTCTGATTGAGAAAGTTTTTCAATAACTTCCAACATTTTGCAATGTACAGTTTATACTGTACATTTAGTGCACTGTGTACATAAAGTAAAACTGTCTTTATTTTTGGCAGAGCCGGAAAGGAATTGAGTATTTGCCACAAACTCTGATTTTCTAATCCCAATATCTTTGGATTCCAACGTCGTAAACCTTTGACATTTTAAACTATGACTATTGCTAGATAAGTTAGAAATATCAAAGGTATACGACATTGGGTTCCAAAGATATTGGGATTAGAAAATCAGAGTTTGTGGCAAAAACTCAAGTCCTTAAGAGAATATCGTTGAAATTCTCAAGGTTTCCTTTTCGGGGTCTAGTCCACCCCGAACTAACCAGAGAGAGAAGCATTCGGTTTCTTTTATATGAAATCAAACGTGTTTTCGTCTATATTTCTACAATCTTTAAACTTACGGATGTGTTTATTATATACTTTTTCAGTCAGTGCAATTGATTCCAAGATTCACAATCATATTTCCTATTTTATCATTGTTCATTACATTTGCATTATTTTTTGTATAACTAATCTACATCAATTACTTTTAATTATGTTCATTAATGTTAATTATCTGAATTAAAAATATACATTAACATTATCAACAAGTACGAAAAATAACATTTTGTATTTACACTTGATATCTTAACATATAAAAAGAACGTATTAAAGGGACTGTAAAGGAAAAATCAAAGGGGGTATGGCTCTGAAAGCTAATCACTTTATCACTTTAGCTCTTGATCGCGACCCATGAAAGTTTTATCTGATGTTCCTGTCTCGAGAAATTGATATAAAACTGTGTTAAAATTATACGAAAGTATGTAAAATTTAGAAAATCTTAAACTTAAATCACGTGACCAGAACTATCACCAATGGCAGAGCAGTATACTGGTCACGTGTCACCGCCTGTATCACGTGACCACTTTACTGCACTGCCATTGGTGGAATTTCTGGTCAAGCAATATGGATGTATAAATAATATTATGAATTAAATCTATAAAAAAAAAAAATAACAAATATAAAATTAGAATTGGAGTAAACCTAAGTTACAATTAGCTTTCTCTGGGATATCATCGTTTTCAGATTGGTTTCATATTTGCTGAATTTGATCTTTTTAAACCCACTACTTTTATACAAAATTGTATATATATTAATTTTCGTATAAATTTGACAAAGTTGTAAATCAATTTCTCGAGATAGGAAAATCAGATATAACTTTAATGGGTCGCGATCGAGAGCTAAAGTGATTAGCTTTCAGCCTATACCCCCTATCATTTTTCCTCTACAGTCCCTTTAAGAAGCAATTACGATACTTGTTTGGAGTTTAAAAAAGTTCAAAGGTAAATTATAAATGGAATTGAAAATAAATGGTTTTTATGGGAAAGTAAAAAATAAAATTTCAGATAAAAAGTATCACAAAGGATATATCAAATATTCAATTATCCCCCCCCCCAGATCTCCCAGGTAATCTTAAGAATATGGCAAAAAAAAATTTGAATCATGTTTTTTGTTGGTTTAGTGTCAGCTGGCTCCCGAGATCTCAACAGTTCATGGTGTACACACTCTGCTCTCCCCCAGATTACACTTGTACAATGGTATGTGCATTGTGCAGTACAGTTTATTGTAATAAAGAACAGTACAGTACTATTCATTTAACTGCCCTTCTGAGTAATATACGACTCCCTTGTACAATTGTACAAAAGTTGCATCATTTAAAAATTCAGAATTATAAGATCTGCCTTTTTTATTGGATACACGCACCTCTGATCCTTCAGTAAAAGTAAATTCAATCTCAAGTCTGCCTGCGTCAACCTTGTTGCATCGGCTAGTCCTATTAAGAGTTTACTCACTGACCGGGCGATACAGTACAAACTTGAACCGGAAAAGTTGACCCGGCTCGGAAATTCAAATGTACTACGGCTGCCCCTGGATATCTAGTTTTTCCTTTCTTCGGTATTTAAGGAGTGAGCTTCTTCGTTCTCTCCAAAACTTGAACTTTTTCGCCCCCGAGAACTATTATTTATCTTTCATACCTCTTTTCATCGTTTTCAAGTTTCCAACCAAAACTTTTCTCTTGTATTTAATATATTAAAAATATGAGTAGATGTTAAGAAATACATTTTTAAGTTTATTTTCTGATGAAAACTTAAATCTGTTTAGAATTAGAAAATTAATAAAGATTTAAATAATGTTTTGAAAAACTAAATTTAAAGTTCTGAATTAGATTTTATTTTTATAAGATAAACTCCTAGTTTAGAACAGTTAAGCCATGTTTTTCTATCTGTTATATATCTCTTCATCTATTTATCTATCTATCTATCTTTGTATATTTCAATATTTAATTTAATAATATATTTAATTATCTCTAAATCTGTCTATCTATCCATCTATCAAAAGCTGAGATAAAGTAAGAATGCCCTGGGGATACACTGTTAGAAATGCCATTTTGTAAATTTTCAATATCATCATATTTCAGGCCAATATAACCAGTATATAGAAGACATTCATTGATATATCGTTTGAAATTTGATGTTTTCTGGTCAGAATGATTTTACTTGAATTAGCCTAAACACTAGTTGATATAAGTAAAATTAGAATCACATCAAATTTTTAAATGAGAATTGAGAGAAAGCAATGTCAGTTTTATTCAAGATACTTTAAATACATACATTATTGATCTCTCTTAGAATTTACTTGAAGAGAGTCAAATTTTAATTGAAGTAAGCAGAATTCTGGTTAATGCAGAATCCAAGTAGTATTCTGATTGAATTGAGTGCCGGTACGTGTCTGAACGCCGGATCACTGTAATTAAAGTAAGCAGGATTATGCTTGCTTCGATTTCTGATGATTGAAGTAAGTAGAATTCAAGTGAATGTAATTAGAATTTAGCGTACAGGCCGTAAATTTATATCAAGCAGAATTATCGTTGATATATTACAACGGATCTTCATGGCTTGGTGCGTGAACTAAATACTGTTGATTGTAAGCGGGTTTTTCTAACAGTGTAGTTCAATAAACCAAATATATATTTGGCAAAAAGAGTTGTGTTTCAACTGTTGTAGTATCTACCTATCTATCTACTTATCTATCTATCTATCAATCTACTTATCTATTTATTTATTTATATAATGAACAAGTTAGTGTAAAATTAAAACTCATTTACAGCTTATTATTTACAAGACTGAAATCTTACGGTTTTCATTAATCTTCTCTGATTGAAGAGCTATGAAATAAAATGTCCAATATGTCGTCAAATAAATTTGCTTTTTATTACTTGTGCACAAAATCAAAACTAGAGGAGCTCCGAGGTCACACTCCATCTGTCTAGTTCAATGTGAACCGTATTTATTTCTCCAGGTAGCTGGGGAGCTTGGAAACCAGCAAACTCAGCCAGGTTGGATAGAACCTCATGGTTCTCCGCTCTTCCATTCAAATATGTCCAGGTACAAAGGGAACTAGTATAAATTGGTTCTGTCTTCTATACATATATATATATATATATATAGAAATAATCTCTGTTTGTCTGTTTGAATGTCAGATTATAACTCCAGTTTTGATTGTGAACTCGGTAGAACCACGAAAATGTTCCTAGGTTGGTTTAAACAAGTTTACTGTTCACTTTTATAGGATAAGTTAGAAATATCAAAGGTATACGACATTGAACTGATCAGGGTTCCAGAGGATATTTTCCTCATATTGTTAAATTTAGGTAATTTTATTCTTTTATTTATAATATTAACTTGGGATCGTTCTTGATCGTTCCGTTCGTTCTTGTGAACGATCGTTCCCCAGGAACGACGCCCAGCCCTATTCCCAAGTGGCAACTTTTCAAATGTACATTTCCCAAGCGCCAAAGGGCCGGGCGCTGCGGCTAGGATGGGCTATGTGGCCGAGGGATGCGTCTAGAAAAGGCTAGGGGACCGAGCGCTGCGGGTAGGACAGATTTGGGATTGGGACAGAATATCATGGGCGGGGGGAGTGCACCATTTTAATATTGATTTATTCTAGAATATATATATTTATATATCCCACGATATCAGGGAGGACGCACCAAAATTATAATATTATTTTATCCTAGAATATCAGAGGGGGACGCACCGTCTCTACCTGTGGAGCTGACACGGGGACACTTTGAGGTGACCAGCATTGACTGCTGGGACCAGGATAATAATATCATGTAGGTCAACCTATCATACAGGGTGTATCATTAATCTTTCATACAGGGTGTATCATTAATCTTTCATACAAGAATTGTATCATTAATCTTTCATACAGGAATTGTATCATTAATCTTTCATACAGGGTGTATCATTTATCTTTCATACAGGGTGTATCATTACTCTTTCATACAGGGTGTATCATTAATCTTTTATGCAGGGTGTATCATTATTCTTTTATACAGGGTGTATCATTATTCTTTTATACAGGATATATCATTATTTTTTCATACAGGGTGTATCATTATTCTTTCATACAGGGTGTATCATTATTCTTTCATACAGGATATATCATTAATCTTTCATACATGTTATATCATTAATCTTTCATACAGGATATATCATTAATCTTTCATACAGGGTGTATCATTAATCTTCTTTAATACAGGATGTATCATTAATCTTTCATACAGGGTGTTTCATTAATTCTTCATACAGGGTGTATCATTTATCTTTCATACAGGGTTTATCATTTATCTTTCATACAGGGTGTACCATTAATATTTCATACAGGGTGTATCAGTAATCTTTCATACAGGATGTATCATTAATCTTTTACACAGGTTGTATCATTAATCTTTCATCCAGGATGTATCATTAATCTTTTACACAGGTTGTATCATTAATCTTTCATACAGGGTGTAGCATTAATCTTTTACACAGTGTGTATCATTAATCTTTCATACAGGGTGTAAAAATAAGACAAGCCAGGAGGGATTCATTGGAGAAATAACGAGATTGTAGAAAAATTTACCCTTTTCGTCTTTTTCTTGCTAAATTTGGTTTAAATTGAAAAAAATCTTGTTTTTTAGATATTTTACAAGTACTCTGGAAAACCAACCGGAAGTGCGTCATCTGTTTCGAGGTGAAGGATTTTTTAAAATAAATAAATTTTGAATAAAGCAGAAAACACAAACTCAAAATTCTCATCCCTGTATCTTTGTAATCTTAATATTTTAAACTTAGACTATGATCAGTATCAATAGTTTGAAATATGATGAAATCGAGTTGCAAAGATATTGGGACTTCAAAATTTGAGAACTCAATCTCTTATAGTTCTATCAGATAGGAAATTGCAACACTTAATAAATTCTAAGCTGAAAATATTTTTTTCATTCAATTTGAATATCGAAAGAAAGCTTAAAGAAGATAGGCATTGTATTTATTATTCTTAACTGCTTGTAAAATTAAAAAAAAACATACTAGATCTTTTTTTTTTAATTTTAATTTTTTTTTAATTTGTTAGCCTATGTTACCCCTGGGATACCCCTGGGTTCCCCAAAAAATGTCAGCCCTTTCGTTCCAGCCGTTTGGCCGGCTATAGGAAGCATATATACAAATGTTTTGTTTTATTATATAGATAAAATAGTTGCAACTCCCGAACTGTAAATTCAAAATTATTTCAAACGGAGATATTGGAACTTAAAATTATGATTGTCATACTCATAAGCATCTAAATCATCTAATCAAAAATAGATATTTTTAAATTCAAAGAAATGTTTAAAAGTGATATTAAAGATGGTTGAAAAAACTGAAACAGTATATAGCTAACTTCAGAACTTTGATAATTTTTACAAACATAATATTTTTTTATTCTTCATTTACAATTATCTAAATGTCAAGCTGTCAGCTAATTGATATTTTTTATGAATTTTGCAGATTGCATATTTTGTTAGTCTGTTAAGGTTTGTTTATATCCAAAATAACGTCCAAGCAGGGACGTTTTTTGTGAGAACTCACATGATGCTTAAAAGATGCTTAAAAATAGTTTTGGTTTGAAAATCTTTAAAAACCAGCATTAAGAACGGACACATTTGTAAAATGTTTACGAAGATTCAGATAAAATTGCACGTTGCACGAGTACAAATTTACAACTTATATTAATTTCTTTGTTTATTTTTTCCCTTGAAAATGACAGATATCGGAACTCTTGTATTCTGGATATTGAGAACAATGCTTGATCTTGTCAATCTACAGATCAATTTTATCTTTATTTAAAGGGAAAATGAAAGGGGGTATAGGCTGAAACCTGAGAATCTCAGGAGTTGAGCATCTATCTGATGTTCTTGTCTCGAGAAATTGATACAAAACTGTGTCAAAATAATACCAAAACATATATATGTAAGGACTTGTATAAGATACGTAGTATTAAACAGATCATATTCAACAAATACGCAACCAATCTGAAAACGACGATATCCCAGAGAAGCCTGAGAAACTTAGGTGTGCTCCTAATATTATTTGAATATAATAATTTTCAAAGAACCTGTCAAATCATTCGTTGGGATGTTCAGAAAGATGAAAATTTCCCTGTATGATAATTGAAGGATTGCAGTATGGTTTTGGTGAATTATATTGACGTACTAAGCCTAGGGGTGTCAGAAATGATTTTTTTTGCATATTTTTGAAAACGTCCAATAAACCTAAAAAAGTTTAATTTTGATAGAACTTTTTGTTCTGGATGATTACAAATATCTATCTAAAACTTTCTTAAACATCAGGTTTCATCCTATACCCCCTTTCATTTTTCCTTTACAGTCCCTTCAATATCCCGCCTGGTAATGGTTCCCAGTCTTCCCAGTCAGGAGTTGAAGGGAGCTTCGACCAGGGGAGAAATAACAAAAATGAAAATATGGAAAAGTTAAGCTTTTTTCTCAAATTAAAAGTGTCCGCACTTTCACAGTTAAAACTTTAGTTCAAGGGATCGGGATTATTAGTTTGCAGCTCAGAAGTATTTTACCCGGCTTATATTTGAGTCACGTTTCAACTGTATTGGATTAACTAATTTGAATTCAATACCGACAAAGAAACTAATTCTCCCCTTATCTATTTCAATTTATTGAAGTATCTTCAACAAGGACTCTAGGGTAGGGTAACGTTTTATGTAGTTTTTAGGGGTTTCAGGAGACTCCACAAAATTAAAAGAGTAAACAAATTTAGCATTGTTTGCTTTGAAAGTTAGCATTTAATACACTATGCAAAATGTTGACGAAAGTGTTGGTAGAAATCAAAATTGAGATATTGTATTGATATATACTACGACGACTGTAGTTTTCCCAGTATTTTTTAGTCTTCTAAAAGCCCTAAAATCCTAAATGCTCAAAAATGGATCCAAAAAGAGTACCTATTTTTGACAAGGTGTGGGGACAGACTTAAATATTACCCAAGAATAACAAGATGGTTTAAATCCCTGAAATTCTATCATTTCGAAAATTTCAAAGTATAAAAAGTGATAATGTTATAAAAAGACAAAATTAGGTTTTTTGATTATTCAACTAGGAATTTAGAATAATCGTTTATGACCCCTTTTATAAAATAACTATTACCTTTTCTTTGAATTTTCTATTCATAAAATTATATTTTTTTTAATAATCAAAAATTATTCGATGGAACATTCTGAATCTTTCCCCCAAATGAGCAGATTAGGAAATACTTTAATAGAATTTCAGTACATCTATGTATGTAAAATATTTATTATAATGTAATAGCTTGGTACACAATATTGAGGTTTAGAATAGGAACATTGTAAAACTATTTGACAAGAAAGCTTAAAACACTTAAATGAACAAAATAATCAAATTTATATATTTTTTATTTCAGTGAGTGATAAAGGAGAGAGCAAACCTGAATGTTTAACCTGTCCTTCCTTTTCCTTTAACTCACCAGTAATTAACTCCAGCTGTCCACACAGCTGTTCTTGTGATTCATCTGTTAGCTGTCAGTTTGCCGACAGCTACGAACGCCAGGGTGAGTTTAGCACGCTTTTGAACGCCAGGGTGAGATTAGAAAGTTTTTTGAACAACAGTGAATTTAGGAAGATTTATGAACACCAAGGTCAGTTTTGCAAGTTTTATGAACACCAAGGTGAATGTAGCAAGTTTTATGAACACCAAGGTGAGTTTAGGAAGTTTTATGAACGCCAGGGTGAGTGTAGCAAGTTTTATGAACGCCAGGGTTAATTTAGCAAGAGGTATGAATGCTAGGGAAAGTTGATGAGGTTTTATGAACGACAGGTTGAGTTTAACAGGTTTTATGAACGCCAGGGTAAATTTAAAAAAAAGTATGAACGCTATGGGGAGTTTTTGAGGTTTTATGAACGCCAGGGTGAGTTTAGCAAGTTTTATGAACTCCAGGGTAAGTTTAGGAAAAGGTATGAACGATAAGGGGAGTTGATGAAGTTTTATGAAGACCAGAAATCTGCAAGTCACTTTTTTAGAAAAATCTTGGAATGGTACCGACGTAAATCGGACATGTCAATCTTAAAATGAAAAATAGTTTTAAATTACGTCATATAATCCTGTATTTCGATGGAAGGATGAGGAGAACTCAATTTAAAGTATTTTCATTGTTCTCTTCTTTTTCAAACAAACCTCACAATTAGTGTCGAGGAATAATGAACTTTACACAACAAGGACGGATCGGGAATTCAAGTTTAAGATTTTCACCTAATCCTTCCCTAAAAATAAGAGGTATTTTTTACTATTAAAAAAAACATGAAAACTTTGCTTAGGTTTCACGATTCCCGTAGGTTGTGTAGAATTCAGGGGTTTCCTTAGAAAGTTCTAAAAATATTCAATTGAGACCAATTTCTTAATTGGGTAAAAGTTGTTGACACAACATTAGACTACAATCAATTCTCCGACGTATATAAGGGGTTTACTCAATCAGGTAGAATTTTACAACAACAAAAAATTAATTCTTCTACTTACGGACATCTTAAATTGATAAAGATAACGGTATTACATGTGAAAAAAGGTCAACAGTCCCCTGAACATCTGCGACTGTGGAGTGATGATCAAAATTTGATCTATTAAGTTTGATCTTTTTCCCCTTTCTTTACTTTTTTGTCGGCGGAAGCGTTTTTTGTTTAAATACATTGTTAAATTTGTTAAATTCTAGAGTCCAAAACTACATTAGTTTAAACACATGGTTAAATTCGTTAAATTCTAGAGAACAAAACTACATTAGTTTAAACTCATGGTTAAATTCGTTAAATTCTAGAGACCAAAACTACATTAGTTTAAGCACATGGTTAAATTTGTTAAATTCTAGAGAACAAAACTACATTAGTTTAAACATATGGTTAAGTTCGTTAAATTCTAGAGAACAAACTACATTAGTTTAAACACATGGTTAAATTCGTTAAATTCTAGAGAACAAAACTACATTAGTTTAAACTCATGGTTAAATTCGTTAAATTCTAGAGAACAAAGCTACATTAGTTTAAACACATGGTTAAATTCGTTAAATTCTGTTGAGACTAAAACGCGACTTAATTCAAAGTAAAGGAACCTAATGCATCTCGCTCTTGAAGGTGAAGCATGAACTAATATTTGAAACCCGTATTTTCCTGACATAGCAACTTTATTATCTCTCTTCCTTCTAGGTGAATGTGATGTTGAGAATACCGGGTACCATTGTGAATACTCACAAAACATGTTTTCACCGTCCTGTAAAGCATACGTCCAGGTATTGGGAATTACCAGTGAAGAAAGTTCCATCCTGTAATTTAGCCTAAACCTGACACCAAATGTTGGATTTGGGTCTTCAGCACGATTTAGAACTTTTTCCCTTGAAAAGAATTCATTCAATTGTTTAGAATTGTAAAGGGCCCTGTAAACCATACAGTAAAGTGTATTGTTTAGAATTGTAAAGGACCCTGTCTACCATACAGTAAAGAGTATTGTTTAGAATTGTAAAGGGTCCTGTATACCATACAGTAAAGTGTATTGTTTAGAATTGTAAAGGACCCTGTATTCCATACAGTAAAGAGTATTGTTTAGAATTGTAAAGGGCCCTGTATACCATTCAGTAAAGAGTATTGTTTAGAATTGTAAAGGGCCCTGTATACCATACAGTAAATTGTATTGTTTAGAATTGTAAAGGGCCCTGTATACCATACAGTAAAGAGTATTGTTTAGAATTGTAAAGGACCCTGTATACCATACAGTAAAGAGTATTGTTTAGAATTGTAAAGGGCCCTGTATACCATACAGTAAATTGTATTGTTTAGAATTGTAAAGGGCCCTGTATACCATACAGTAAAGAGTATTGTTTAGAATTGTAAAGGACCCTGTATACCATACAGTTTGTTTAGAATTGTAAAGGGCCCTGTATACCACACAGTAAATTGTATTGTTTAGAATTGTAAAGGACCCAGTATACCATACAGTAAAGAGTATTGTTTAGAATTGTAAAAGACCCTGTAAACCATACAGTAAATTGTATTGTTTAGAATTGTAAAGGACCCTGTAAACCATACAGTAAAGAGTATTGTTTAGAATTGTAAAGGACCCTGTATACCATACAGTATAGTGTTTTGTTTAGAATTGTAAAGGACCCTGTAAACCATACAGTAAAGTGTATTGTTTAGAATTGTAAAGGGCCCTGTATACCATACAGTATAGTGTATTGTTTAGAATTGTAAAGGGCCCTGAATACCATACAGTATAGTGTATTGTTTAGAATTGTAAAGGACCCTGTATTCCATACAGTAAAGAGTATTGTTTAGAATTGTAAAGGGCCCTGTATACCATACAGTATAGTGTATTGTTTAGAATTGTAACGGGCCCTGTATACCATACAGTAAAGAGTATTGTTTAGAATTGTAAAGGGCCCTGTATACCATACAGTAAATTGTATTGTTTAGAATTGTAAAGGACCCTGTATACCATACAGTAAAGAGTATTGTTTAGAATTGTAAAGGGCCCTGTATACCATACAGTAAAGTGTATTGTTTAGAATTGTAAAGGGCCCTGTATACCATACAGTAAGGAGTATTGTTTAGAATTGTAAAGGGCCCTGTATACCATACAGTAAAGTGTATTGTTTAGAATTGTAAAGGGCCATGTATACCATACAGTAAAGTGTATTGTTTAGAACTGTAAAGGGCCCTGTATACCATTCAGTAAAGTGTATTGTTTAGAATTGTAAAGGACCCTGTAAACCATACAGTAAGGAGTATTGCTTAGAATTGTAAAGGGCCCTGTATACCATACAGTAAAGTGTATTGTTTAGAATTGTAAAGGGCCCTGTATACCATACAGTAAAGTGTATGAACTTCCCTCCAATAGTTTGTTATTGACCTTGGATACAAACTCCAGGCTACACCAGCTGGTCAACTTAACGGCTTTACCACATATCAGGTTAATACAACAACTTTACCACATATCAGGTTAATACAACAACTTTACCACATATCAGGTTAATACAACAGATTTACCACATATCAGGTGAATACAACAACTTTACCACATATCAGGTTAATACAACAACTTTACCACAAATCAGGTAAATACAACAACTTTACCAAACGTCAGGTTAATACAAGAGCTTTACCACATATCAGGTTAATACAAGAGCTTTACCACATATCAGTATAATACAAGAGCTTTACCACATATAAGGTTAATACAACACATTTACCACATATCAGGTTAATACAACACATTTACCACATATCAGGTTAATACAACACATTTACCACATATCAGGTTAATACAACAGCTTTACCACATATCATGTTAATACAACACATTTACCACACATTAGGTTAATACAACAGCTTTACCACACATTAGGTTAATACAACAGCTTTACCACATATCAGGTTAATACAACAGCTTTACCACATATCAGGTTAATACAACACATTTACCACACATCAGGTTAATACAACAGCTTTACCACATATCAGGTTAATACATATGAGGTTAATGAAATAACGTTATGCACATATCGATCAAATAAGATAAAATGATCGTTTTTTATTTCCTTTAACAAAAACATATTTTCTACTTCAATTGTCTTAAAAGTATTCTTTACTACAAACAAATATACTAGCTTCATAAAAATTTAAGGATTTTTAGTTTTGAATTAATCAAAGAGAATAGAATATATATTAGAGTGGAATTTAAACAATCCTTTGGTAGGAATTTAGTCAGTCCCTTTCAGCCTGAAAGAGAGTTCAAAGTGTTCAAATCATGTAAATGTTCACAAATTATATGCAGTAGAGTACATTCATATAGTATGTTCCCTAGACTATCCATTTCAATTTCGAATTTTTAAAGCTGTTAAATAAACTTTATAATGAATTAGGTCAATAAAAACATCATGGTTTATAGCTATAACGGAAAATCATCGTTTGTAAAGTGAAAAGCATAGAGTCTATGTGAAATGATCATTGGTCAATTATGAAACCAGCCTATTTCATAATTTGGCTTTCTTTTATATAAATTTTAGATTTTCTATAAAATAGTGTTCCAGGGCCCAAAAGGTTATATAGCGCAAATATGTGGAGTACACCTGCAGAATGGAAACAGTACAACAAAATGGCCGTTTTACACTTTTTACTAGTAAATTACACTCTAATATATATTCTATTCTCTTTGGAATTAATACATCTGTTTATGCGTAAAGATACATGAGTATTCAAAGTTTTGAATTAATACATTTATTTATGTTCAGATACATGAGTATTCAAGTCGCTGATCATCAGTTTGCTAAACTTAAGGAAATAATTTGATCCTTCTAAATGATAATTAAATGCTAACTGTGCTGTACTACACTGCACTGTACTGCAACTGTCCTGCATATAAAATGTACTGTAGTTGTTATTGTGGAAGGTTGTTTGTTGTACGATTTGAGCTAGGTATCCTATTTTACCAGTATTATAACAATAGACAATTTTGGGCCAAAAATATCTATGAGGTTCAAAATCAAAAAAATGTTGTTTTAAATTGGGGAAAAAATTTCAGAACATACAAATAAATTTGTTAAAACGTATCAAATTTTCTATAAGGAGCTAAATTAAACTCCTATTTATTTAAATTACAGGACTGACTTTTAACCAGAACTAGGCCCAATTGAACAATATTCATATATACAGGGTACGGTGTCCCAATATGTAAGGGATACCTACTGAGACAGCTGTAATCTGTAAGAGTTTCGTTTGCTATGTTCACATTTTGTTTGTTTATGTTTTGACTGCATAAGGTTGTACTTAGTAAAACAAGAAAATTACAGAATACAAACTGCTATGTTCACATTTTGTTTGTTTATGTTTTGACTACATAGGGGTGTGCTTAGTAAAACAAGAAAATTGCAGTATACAAACAGAGTAAACTTGTCCGTCTTCACTGTTTATCTTGCGGAGACAGTATAGACACATCTTTACAGTCTTTTACCCTTTTCATAAAATAAACTCTAGCAAACATAATAATATTATGGCTTTTGAAATTAGGTATTACAATGCTTATTCATAACAAAGACGATATCCAATTTGTCAATGAATTCCCATGTTTTTTGGGACACCCTGTACCATAAACGGCAGATTAATGGGACGGTACACCAAATAAGTCAGCTTCTTCTCGTGAGATTAGTGTAAGCTTGAAAGCTAACAAACTGAATTGTATTTAAGTAAAGAAAATAATCTGATGCCCTCTATACTAGTTTTCCTGTAAAAATATCCAACATAAATGTTTATATTCTGTAAAAAAAGCAAAAATGAGATTGATGATATTTCCCGATCATAAACTATTGATAGAAGCAGTAAACTTGTGATAAAGATATCATAAGTTGATTTTATGATCGTAAAATATTCTCTTCATAGCGCCTCAATACTCCGCAGGCCAAGGTCACATTGGAAATAGTTCCGATACTGCCATTTTAGGAGTTAATTCATCTATACTATATTTTTTACTGGTTAAAAATGAGCAGAGAAAACTAGAATTTTTAATAAAAAATAATTTATTATTAACAAAGCATAAATACCCCGAACTTTGTTTACTAAAAAAGGTATACCGAGTGTACAGTGTACAGTGTACAGTAAACAGTGTACAGTGAACAGTATAGTGTTATAGAACTAGGGACGAAGAATAAATTATTTATCAGGTTATTATACAGTGTACAGTGTAGAGTAGACAGTGTACACTGTACAGTAAACAGTGTACACTGTACAGTAAACAGTGTACGGTATACATTGTGCAGTATAGTGTTTATCAGTGTACAGTGTACACTGTACAGTAAACTGCAGTGTACAGTGGACAGTGTACACTGTACAGTGTACAGTGTACAATGTACAGTGTACAATGTACAGTGTTCAGTATAGTGTTGTATAACTAGGTATGAAGGATGAACTATTTTTTAGGTTGTTATACAGTGTACAGTGTACAGTAAACACTGTACAGTGCACAGTGTACAGTGTACACTGTTTACTGTGTACAGTATAGTGTTGTATAACTAGGTATGAAGGATAAACTATTTATCAGATTATTATACCGCCTGGTTACTCAGATACGGACAGAATCTCATTCCCTACTCTTTATGAAATGTAAGTATAAGTATAAATGATGATAAAAAATATATTCTAAATGCATTAACGTAATATCAAACAAATATTTCTAGTTGTAAGATGAGATTCCCAATTCACAACCCTGAACCATTTTAATTTTGTATTTGAGCCACTCACACACTTCTGACCCTTTAGTAAAAGTAAATTAACCTAAAGTCTGACCGCGTCAACCTTGTTGCACCGGCTAGTTCTATTGAGTGTCTGCTTTATTTGCCCAATGTCCGGGCGATACAGGACAATTTGGGACCCGGCTCGGAAATTCTAATGTGCTACGGCTGCCCGTGAACTGATGATTTTGTTGTTTTTCCATCTTAAAACGTGTTGAAATCTGTATGTTCCTACATATTTTCTTTTATTTCAGTTGCATAACATTTGCAAGTCACCAAAAGTTTAACCACAATCACAAGGATATGTTCACGATTTTTTCTCATAATAAGCTGGATGAAAGGGTACCGTTGTGAATCGGTAATGCCATTCTGTAAATGTGTAAAGTCACTTTAAAATTACCTCTGCACACCGGTTAAAGAGAATTTAAAACACAATAAAAATTAGATAAATTAATGTATGATTTTAACACATTTTCTTTTGATTAACGCACTCAACTTGGATTTTTTAAACCAGACTAAGAAAATTCCCTTGGTGCTACTGAGTTTCTCCAATCAGAATTTGAGGCAAATCGGTCCAAGGATTAATGAGTTTTAACGGAATCGAGTCTTCGCAACAAACTCTGATTTTATAAGCCCTATATCTTTTTAATTCTTTGTAATTACAAACTACATATAAACTCAAAAACTAATAATTTGAGTTTGAAATATCAAAGGTATATACACCATCAGGTTGCAAAGAAAAAGAGATGAGAAAATTAGAGTTTGTGAAAAAGACTCAATCCCTTATGTAACCGATGTTTTAAAAATTCGTGAATAAAACGGGGAAATCTGTGAAATTGCTCTGAAATAAAAGCAATCCTAAGAAGTGTTAGCTAGACAATATAATTGAAGGGACTCAGATAAAGTGGACAATACCATTTATATAAATACAAAATGTTATTCTCCTTGTTTATGTTGTCTGTGTGGCATTATATGTTTTATAATATTACTAGCTGAGGGGCCCAGCGTTGCCCGTGGGAAATTCATGAGTGTCCACTAATATGTCAGCCTATTCGGTCCAGCCGTTTGGCCAACTGCTATATATACATATATACGAATGTCTTGTTTTATTATGTAGATAATTTATTAAAAAACTCTGCGTTTATATAATTGATGACCGTGCTTAATGATTTTACTTTCTCAACATTTATCTTACAGTGAGTCTAAGTATGACCGGCAATGTATGGTAGTTGAACTAAGAATGTAGTATTATGGAAAAAGTTTTAGGATTAATTTGAGACACATTAAACGTTTTAATGATGTATAATTACTGATTTTGAGTGCAAAATCGACGCTCAAATTCATCCATTTGGGTGGTTACTTTTTGAGAATCGATTTTTTTTTATTAGATTATTAAATAACGACGACAAAAAAGGTATCAAATATTTTACAGTAAACTGATGAGATGCTTAGGAACATATTTCTCAATAGAAAGTTGTCAATAAATCAACGTTAGAATTAATTATTTTTTTCATCATTATATTGAATTTCTTATTCTTTATGAATTTGTTCGCAGATTTCTACAATTTTTTTCAAAAGTCGTCTTTCAATAAAATTCCAGAAAATCTACAGAAAATGTTTGTGAACAATAAGAGATTACAAAAACTAATAACTGAATAAGAATATTTATTTTCGATTATAATAGTTACCTTCTATTTTCTGAACCTGTTCCAAAACAATTAATTAGTTTACTGGAGAATTTATTTAATAATATAAAAAACCGATTCTCAAAACGTAATCAACCAAAAGGAAAATTTTGAAAGTCGATTTTGCGCTCAAATTCAGTATTTATACATTATTAAAACGTTTTATATGTCTCAAATAAGTCCTAAAAAATTCTCCACAATGCTACATTCTCAGTTTAACTACCAAACATTGCCGGTCACACCCTTCAAAAGATTGGAATGCATTTATAGCTGTACATTATACAAAATATGTGTTACATGCACATTGTACAATGTACATTTTATATTTTTAATCCATTAAGAAAACACTATCTTCATATCTTTTCCATGGATTGAATTAATTCCTTCTGAAATACTGTAAGCATAAATTCAAGTGAACCTCCGTGCAAAAGAGGGACATCCCAAATTCAAGTAAATGCGCTAAATCCTACCATTAAAATCCGCCAAGTAGAATATTAAACATGTTTTTTGAACTCAACTCTGTGGAAAATAAGATGCAGCTTGAATCTGAAAGCTCACCGTAAATAAGGCCCAACGACAGCTTAGACCCGAGTCGTATTTTCCCGAATTTTTTAAATCGCGGGCTCTGGGCCTTGATCAGTCACAGGTTTAAAGGATACCATATTGAATCTGAAAAAGGTTGATCAAGTATGAATTAGACATTTTTAAGACTGATTTTTTTAGATTGCGGTTTCTCTAAAAAACAGTGTCTTTCTACTGCAGGAAACAATATCTTTGCATGGAAGCTCATTTGAAATTTCGCTTACAGTCCCGTTAATCACGTAGTTCATACCAAAATTGTGGACCGCGGATTGGGTCCATTATATTGTAATATCTAGATATGGTGGACCAGGGCACCAACTGATTTCTAAATGCAGTGGACCATGGATTGGGATCATTATATTGTAATATCTAGTTATGGTGGACCAGGGCACCAACTGGTTTCTAAACAGTGGAGCGTGGATTGGGTCCATTATATTGTAATATCTAGATATGGTGGACCAGGGCACCAACTGGTTTCTAAACAGTGGAGCGTGGATTGGGTCCATTATATTGTAATATCTAGATATGGTGGACCAGGGCACCAACTGGTTTCTAAACAGTGGAGCGTGGATTGGGTCCACTATATGTCCAGTGCTAAGGGGTTTGTTATAGTCATCATGGATCTAAGGGGTTCAGGCTTTCAGGTGAAATGAATTTCTTCATATTTTCAGAATTTTTTTTCTTATTTAACTATTCAATTTTTTTTAAGAAGTTAAAATCAAACAATCAAATGATTTTTCTATATTTGTCTATAAACATTAATTGAGCTCTATTCATTTAAAAAAAATTTAAAAAATTAAAAAAATCAACAACCATGAAATTTATACAATTGTGGCAATTGTTTCTTTTTGGATGTTGGATAATTTATTTGAATTCCAAACCAATGCAAGTATACCTACGGTCTGGGGTTTTTAGGTACACATTTTGAGGTATTACAGTGATAACCAGAAAACTTTGGAATTGTAAGTTGACTTTCACACTAAAATTATGACTTTAAATAGTTCGATGAACATGAGGCACAGTAATGGTGCAGTGTAAATAGACCCATTTCACTTTAAAAGTGATTTAATAACTTATTAGTACAGCTTTTTGGTTTGTGACAACATAAAACGCGCTTTTGCACTATTGCTGTAATGTCGTCTTCCTATTCTACAGTTTTCTGGTAGAAACATAAGGAATTAGTTTCAAAACAAATACAGATATTGTAAACAAAGATTTTAATTTTCCTAGTCTCAGGGTATAAAGTCCAGAGTTGTGAAAACATGTTTACAAAATGTTTTGCATATTTCATATTTACAGTAAGCCAACTTTGGAGCAATGTACGCAAACCCTCCTCCCCCATGCCTTGTAACCACCTTATACGCAAACCCTCCTCCGCCACCTTATACGCAAACCCTCCTCACCGGCACCTTATACGCAAACCCTCCTCCGCCATCTTATACGCAAACCCTCCTCCCCCACCTTATACGCAAACCCTCCTCCGCCACCTTATTTCTAATCACTTTGTTGCCAGACTACCTATCGGACTGCCAACTAATTTAATATTGATCCTTTGTGAAGTTTCCGAAATCTTCTTTGTTTACATAGTTTGGAGAATATGTAATTAATCAAATAAACTTGTCAGAAATGTATTGTTAAGTTCAGGGGTTTAACTCTGATATAGAAAATTTGGCAATTTGCTGGCTTTAAGATTGTGAAAGAAATCTAAACTATTTTAATCAACGAGTCGATTGTAGGAGGGGGAGGGAGGCCAACAACAACCATTTTCGTCCGTACCACATTCTCCTCATTTTCCCGTCCGAACCACATTGTCCTTATTTTCTCGTCCGAACCACATTTTCCTCATTTTCCCGTCCGAACCACATTGTTATTATTTTCTCGTCCGAACCACATTGTCCTTATTTTCTCGTCCGAACCAAATTCTCCTCATTTTCTCGTCTGAACCACATTTTCCTTATTTTCTCGTCCGAACCACATTCTCCTCATTTTCTCGTCCGAACCACATTCTCCTTATTTTCTCAACTATAACGAACGGAAAGAACATATAACATAAGAAAGAGCTATTATAATTTTTAAAATGTATGCCGAATACCGGCCTAAAATATTCTGTACGTCATTTTTTTAGCCACAGTTACTGGTTTTGGATCTATTGAGAAATCTGTATATATATGAGCACAGAGCCAACCCTGTAACAATTAAAAAACTGCAGTTTTTCGACTTCAAACCCTTAAAAATACTTTCATTAAAACAATTTTTTTGACACGGGGAGCAAGCCCCAACTAATCCTTTT